TACGGTTCTCTTCGTGGCCACATTTACTACGTTTACCTGCCTGATCGAAAGGAGGTTATTCGCTGCAGAGATGTTCGATTTCGTGAGGAACCGCACAAGACAGTGTTGCCTCCAACTACTGGCACACCCAACATTGATGAAATTGAACATGATGCTGCGTTTGTCGAACCAGATATCATCATCCAGTACACCATCCGTCAGAAGCCTATTGAAGGTGAAAAACCCGTGACTGGTGATCCCAAACCAGATGAGACCATCGTTGAAAAAGCGATGGCACCCACTGATACACATCTCATGTCTCCGCCACCAGAGAACCTGTTGGAGACCACTGCTACACCTCGTGACAGCATTACTAACGAATTGAATGATGACGAATTCGTCGCTTCCGTGGAAACAATGGAAACTGATCACCAGGACCCTGATTCCCTCTCCACGATTGTTGAGGAAGCAACGAGTCAACCGGCAGAGTCCTCTCGACCTCGCCGCGCCTCAGCCCAGCGACCACCTGGTCACTACCGAGCCGCCAGTGGCGTACGCTCCTATGCTAAAAAGACTTTTCTATCTGCTGACATTCCAGCTTCACTAACTTCTCGTCAATTCTCTCTCAGCGTGCTTTCTGCTACTGCCCTTTCGAAAGTCCTACCCGACGGCGTGGTGATCCCGAAGTCCTACCGTGAGGCGCAGAAGAGCCCACAGTGGCCCCAGTGGGAACAAGCCTTCGAACGAGAGATGACTCAATTCACGGAAAAGGGGGTTTACGAAGTCGTTTACCCACCACGTGACGCTAAAGTCCTGCCCGGCAAGTGGGTATGTGACATCAAAACCAACAAAAACAACGAAATCGTGCGCTACAAGGCCCGATATGTGGTTTGTGGAAACCACGAGAAAGGTGACTGGTCATCGCAAGAGGTTTACGCTGCAGTTGCCTCTGCCACCGCAACCCGCCTTTTCTTCGCAGTTGTCGCACTTCTCGATCTTGAATACGAAGTATATGATTTCGACACTGCTTTCCTAGCCGCCTCGATTCCAGAGGGGGTTAAGGTGTACGTCCGGCCCCCCGCTGGCTACGCCACTGCAGACAACAAGGTTTGGCTGCTCCACAAGGCACTCTATGGATTGAGAAAATCACCACTTTGGTGGTTTCGACTTATCAAGGGTGAAATGGAACGAATTGGCTTCACTGCTGTTGATGGGGAGGTTTGTCTCTTCGTCAATCACAAGATTAAAGCGTACGTTCTTATGTACGTCGACGACAACGCCATCGCCGCTCCCAACAAGCAAGTCATGATGGAAGTTCGTCGTCTCCTCGAGAAGGTCTGTTCTCTTAAAGACCTCGGCGAGGCTACCGATTTTCTCGGTTTCCAGATTGAACGCGACAGAGCTGCCGGTAAGATTTTCGTTTCCCAAGCCAAGTACGCAAAAGCAGTGCTTCAACGATTCGACTTTGATGGTTTGAGTGCTGTCAAGACGCCTATGGCGACCACTGACGATCTGCCCGTCACCTGGGACAAGAACGAGTGCTCGCTTGACGAACAACAACTTTACATCGAACAAACCGGCTGCCTTAACTTCCTGGTGGCTGGAACTCGCGTTGACATGGCCTACACCGTCAGTAAATTGTCACAGGCGAATTCAGGGCCTTCTAAGGCCCATCTTCGTGCTATTAAGCACTTATTCCGATACCTCAAGGGCACCGTTTATCTCGGTATTGTACTTGGAGGCATCCCCACGATCAACGAGTTGGGGCTCTACGCTGCTGCAGATGCCTCTTTCGCTGACAACAAGCCATCACGAGTCTCGACAGGTGGTTACGTCGTCTTCCTCGCTGGTGCGCCGATTGCTTGGAAGTCAAAGAAACAGACTTTCGTGACTTTGAGCACCACGGAGGCTGAATTCATCAATCTCACACCTACGGCAATTGCTGTGAAGTGGATCAGACGTTGCCTCTCCCAACTGCTCGGCAAACCCATCACCACGCCTACTATCATGTTCACTGACAGTGCCAACGGCTACGACAACGTCATGAACCCACTCAACGAGGCACGAACCCGCCACATCGACGTCCGATACAAATGGATCATACAGGAGGTTCACACTGCGAAAAGCATCGAACTCCGACTCATCAAGGGCGCTGATATGGCCGCCGATGGACTCACGAAGCCACTGGTTGCGGTCAAACACAAGGAATTCGTTCGTTTGTTGGGCATGGCGGAGGGATTGGATTGAGAGGGGGATTTTGAGACTGTGGGACTATTGATATTGAGACTTCGGGATTCGGAGGATTTCACGGCCTCCTATTGGCCAGGTTTAACCGGTAATTGACCGAGTTTTCTAATAGTTGAGAACTCCTCGGATTTGGAGGATTTGGGACTTTTCCTGTATTTCCTATTATTCTACTGCTTTTTCGCTGAGGAGTCTGAGAGGGGGTGTGGGTGGCAGGCCTCGCCGGCCCGTCACGTGGGCTGACGGCCGCCACCACTGGTCTTAGCCAGCCTCCACAGCCCTCTAGCCAGTTAGTTAGTTCTTCCAACCAACAACACCACTTTTCCCATTCTGAGCGTTCTGTGCTGGTTTCGCCCACATTTTTCCATAGCGGGAGATGTGCCGGAAATTGAACAGGATTGTGCAGTTTTGACAGGTTGTAACAGTCGAAGTGAACCTTTACTGCGTTCCATTACTGCCCCTCAACTGGGGCATGTCATCAAGCTTTACATCCTGAAACGACAGGGACACAAATACGGCGACAGGGATTCCGTTTGGGGTTGGGCGACCCGTGGAATGGACGACAACTGCCTGAATAGGACGGCATCGACCCATTCGCTTTCAAGTCTCTGCATCAAGTGAATCGGAATGCAACCGGGATGTCCCTTCATCGAGACTCCTGTAGGACCGCTTGATAGCAATGGAAAGGATAATACACCTCCCTTGTGAGACCCGAACCGACTCGGCGTGCCTTGCATATGGTGAGTTGAATTGAGAGCATCAGTTGACAACTCCGTTCCGATCAATGGCCCGGCGTAAGGCCGCCAATGCGCGTCACAGCCCCCCGGTAATGAGCTCCCATTTTCCGACCTCATCTCCGTGTCCGCCAAAGGCATACTTCTGGCCGCTTGCAGCCAATACCTTCCTTGGTCACGCCATCGATGGTGATGAGATCATAAAAAAAGTCATTGTATTCGTCATGAGCTCAAATCGGTCGATAGCTGGTGGTTATTTTGTGTCCATTGTTGACCGACAATCGAATCAGATGCTGCAACGAAGCTTATGATGGCGGGATGTTAGGGCGGCCCGAGCGGTGGACATGTAAAGGTAACATCAGCTTGGTCTTCACTGGTGAAATGGCACTTTGATGTTGTAACGTGAAATTCAAACAAGTTGGCAGCTGCGCCATGATTCTATTTTTCCATGTCCCATTTGACGAACCATAAGTAGGCCGGAACACCCAGAATTGAGGCGTTCTCCGAAGGTTAGGTCAGCAGTGGGTGGCTTGGTCGTCTGTGCGATCCAAATCATACCCTCCCTTGTTGTGTCACTTGGGCCGAACACTACCCCCCCAAGGCAAAGGAAACAGTACAACCTAGAAAACAGACGCAGCTTGATTTTTCCGACCTTATGGACAGGCCTCCAAGTGCCGGGGAGACATCGGCAGTAATAGGCGAGACGACGACGTATAGGAAAAGACCAGCAGTGCAGAAAGTCAAAAACAGCCCAGCTTCCACTGATGTAACCACTGGATCGGGCAAGCAATGTTACCACAACAGGTCGACGTCTGGCGGACGTGGGATAGGGCCCGATTCGACTTGGATACTTTAACCCTTGGCACCTCGTCATCGATTGCAATCATCCTCGGCCGTCGGGCCTACGCAACAAGGGAGCAAAATGGATACGGCAGTAATAAAAAAGGGGCGGCTTGTATTCCGCACCCAGTTTACTATGATGTAGTACAACTGTGACCCCCACTTTCCCTACCAGGAACCCTTGAGGAACCTTTGGACGCTCTTGGACGCTCTAGAAGAATATTCGATTGTCAAAAGAGGGGCAACACGGGATGTCTTTGAGCAGCAGTGAGGGGTATTTCAGACGCTGCAGAAAACCAGCATCCCTCTCTAGCAAACACCCCCATGCTCAATGGCCGGCCCTGTATCATGATTTGCAGCTAAACTGACCACAGGCTAGTCGGACAGTGTACTTCCTGTATGACCTGCACCTTCAGGGGCTGGGGAGGGCCGCTTTTGACCGGATCCGTCTTCGAGGCTCCTGTCATTGGCTGGTGTTGAGGAGCCTCCCCTTCTTTACCGCAACAACCAGCCTGCGCCGGAGCCATCTGTACCTTACCACCACCATGTGCAGAACTGGAGAAGCTGGACGGACGGAATTTCATAGTCAGTGTTGCTTGTTGCACCTGATTTCATGCTCAATGCCCATCCCCATCCCTTCCTTTGCCCCGCAACGCCAGAAACGCGGCGGCCACCCCGCAAACCAGTGCACAATTGCATGTGAGGGCGGGTAAGGATTGAGCAAGCCAGCAACAATTGTGCACCCTGACTGGCTGTGGCGCTCCAGAAGAGGCCCGTGAAACCTTGGAAAGACTGGGAAGCTCGGCACATGCTGGACATGTCAGATGGTTTACCCCTCCTCGCCGTACAAGAAGAACCGGAATTATTGCCAGACGGCCACTCGAACCGAAAGTCTCCTTTCTCTCTCTTCATCTTCACAATCGTCCTACCTACCGGTGCAACCCGACTGAACCTCACCCATCTGTTTTGACTGTACTACCATACCATTCAGCCTCTTTCTCTTGTCATTCAGCATTCCTTTTTCCAGTGCCGACTTCGTCTTCGGACAACAACCCCCCACGTTCGTGATATCCCGTTCGGATCCCCCACATGTAATGAAGCGGCTGACCCAACATCCAGGAACCAAAGTTCCGCGTAATAGCACCCTGCTCCAGCTTCTAAACGAGACAGCCGAAGACAGCTCGCTGCGAAATCCCTAACAAAATGGCACCACTTACGCCCCATTGGACTCAGCCGTCCCACCCGGAAATTCAGGAGGTCGTCAAGGCCAGTGAGACTGAGTTCCTCACAAAGAGCTTCTCCAAGGTCGCTCTGCCGCCCTTCGCCGTCTTCGCAAAGATGTCGTTCCCGCCATGCGACATGGCCGATGAACCCACATATGCCACCGTCCAGTGCGGCAAGGACAAGCACCTTAACCTCAACAGCGATCTTCTCTACATCAACCACTCATGTGAACCGTCTCTTGTCAGTCTTCTTGTTCCCGCATAAAAAATCCCACCGTCTGAGCCGAGCTGGGCCCCCTTTATCCCCAGAGCAGCGAGCACAGACAGGCAGGGTCCATCCTGGGAACATGTGGGATTGACAGGTGCTATTTATAGATCTTTGACACGGGCAACTTCAACGTCCTGGCTGGCCCGAAAGGACTCCAGCCCGGTGACGAACTGACTGTGAGTTTTGACCCCTGGCGTCTCCTGTCATATTTGTTGAATGATGGGATGACTTACGCTTCTCGAACGCCCGCAGTTCTTCTACCCCTCGACCGAGTGGCACATGGCGCAGCCCTTTGATTGCTTCTGCAGCACCCCCACATGCCGCGGAAGGATCGCCGGTGCACGCGACATGCCCCGTGCTCAGCTCGAGGGACTCTGGCTCAACGGCCACATCCGGGAGCTCCTTGAGGAGCGTGACGCGGGTCGATCTGAGAACGACGACCCAACTGCCCGGGCGCTGAGAGACGCGCTAAAGGCCGCCGAGCGCGTCGTCGAGGCAGCTCGCTCCGCCCTCAGGACCTACACCGAGTCTTCATCCGCCGGCGGCAGCGGCCAGCACCAGCTGTCGCAGTCCATCAAGAACGGCGTCAACGGCGGCAAGGTCAATGGCAGCCGGAACGGCGCTAGTGCCAGGGAGCTTGGAGGCGAGATGGGCGGTGACACGATCCGTCCTGCCTAGACGGGGCCTGCCGGCGAGACCCCGGCGGGCAGTGTAGAGGGGCGGGCAACTCAACTTGTCTCGCACTTCCGACCCTGAACCGTTAGCTTATTTATTTTCCTCCTGTTCCTGTCATGTTTCCCCCTTGCGAATTCAACATGTCGTTTTCCTAAATCTTGCCAAATGTCGCTGAAAATTAAAAAGGGGACGAAGTAGTTGGATCATTTCTTTTTTTAAAAACATCCATAGAAAAAGAAGCAGATAAAACAGAGTGATAGACAATAGAACAAACCGTCATCATACAATTTAGACCTGGTAGTCTTTCAAACTCTTGCATTTCCATAGGGCTTTTACAAGGTAAAAAAAAAAAAAAAAAACCTTATACTCTAAACAGATGGAACTCCGGTGATATGCCCGACCAACCCAGTGTAAAAATACAAATGTCACGATAACCATCACACGCAAGCGGACTCCTCCTGACGCCTGTACTACTACATCACTCTCATGACAAAAGTAACTCTACCGCTGCTGTGCCCGTCCATTCCTTTTTACTTTTGGTTGTCTTTTTTTCTTTTCTTTGGTTGTTCTCGTCGCTTCGACTCTTTTCACTCCTTGTGGTCTGCCCAGCGATCGCCCCAGCCCTGTCTCCTTCCCTTCTCGCTGCCAACGCCGCCGGCGTATTTGCTCTCGTGCTCTTCCCACTCCTTGCGTACGACAATGCGACGGGCCGAGAACGCTCTCGCAAACTTCCAGGCTTCGGTATCAGCGAGGTTCCACGCCTCAATGGCGTTGCGAACAGCCAGGTCCTTAGGGTCTTTGGTCTTGCCCATATCCCGCGCCTTCTTCAACAGAGGCGGTTCCTTCTCCAGGTCTTCGGGAGTTGCAACAGGTCCGTCGACAGGGTCGTGCTTCGGCTGCGGGCGGCGCTCGGGGCCAGGCACGGGGGTCTCGGAGGTGCCGTCGGTGGCGTTGTGGGGGATTGCGAAGCCGAAATGCCAGTCGAGGTCCACGGGCAGTTCCTTCTCAGGTGTAAGCCACAGGGAGTGGGCGCCCGCGAATTCGCCGGCCACAGCCTCCTTGAACTTGAGAATACGGGGCCCGCTGCCGACACCGGCGCCAAGAATCTCCGACGTAGCGGCAGTGAGCCAGACGTCGCGCTCAGACTTGCGACGAATCCAGGGGATCTCGATCGTGTCCTGGAGGTTGGTGAGAAGAGCAGTAGTGTAGGGATGGGGCACAGTGCCAATCGTGTATAGTGTCGTGGTGTTGCGGTAGCGTGGGGGCGTGGTGACGCGCATTGGCTGCGCTGGGACGCACGGCTTGCACTTTGCGTTGTTGGGCGGGCAAGACGATGGCATAGGAGACTCGGGGCACATGGAGAGGTCGCCAGCGAGGTGCCAGGCGTCGTTGATCATATGCGTCATGTGATGTGGCAGGGGCTTCAACACCGCGATGCCGTCCGAGAAGACGTTCTGCCAGGTCATGTGCAAGTGGCCATTGATGAGTTTCTTGAGGGCTGTCAAGCCTCCTGCGCGGTCCGTGGCGATGGCCTCGGCGACTTTAGGGTATTTGTTTTGGATGACTTCGACATCGTAGTAGGCGATGGCCTTGGGGAAGTTGTCGATCTTGAAGGTGTCCTCGGTAGAGGCAGCAATGAAGTCCTTCGTGTCCTTGAGCTTTGTGCCGGTCAAAGTAGCCTTGATGGCAGCATTGACGTCCTTTTCGGCACCGGCAAAAAGCCCGTTGCCCAGGCTATTCCAGCGGGTGAGCTGGGGGTACTCTCCACGGCGAAGATAGGAGATGAGGGGGTCCTCGTGAGCACCCATAGGAAGGGTGGTGTGGTAGGCGAGCAGGCCGCCGCGCATGTTATCCCAGGCAAGCCAACGCATCAAGTCGGTCTTGAGATCCGCGTCCACCTCCTTGTTGCGTTGAAGCTCGTCGTAGAGGGGGTTCTTCATGGCCTCGGCGGCGCTAAGAATGATGGGCTTGAAGCCGCGGGCCCACCAGGCGCGGCGCCAGACGAGGAGGAGCTCGCTCTCGGCGTCCTTGCTGGCGGCATCCTTCTTGATGGTTTCGTCGTAGTAGCAGTAAATGGGCGGGCGGGTCTTGAGGGGTGGAAGGAGCGAACGATCTTCATCGAGGGTAAGGGATGACGAGAAGGGTACTGAGAGCCACTTCCAATCAGACCACCAGGAGGACTCGCCATTGGTGTCGTTCTGCTGGCGCGGGGGCGGATGGGAGGGTGGGCGGAAGGGATTGAGGCGGCTCGTGGAGGAGAAAGGGTTTTTGATCTTGGGGATCGAGAACTTGTGGTCGGTGTACTTGCTCAGGCTTGGGCCGGAGGGGATGGAGCTCGGCAGGGTGAAGAGCAGAGAGAAAACGGCGAAGATGGAGATGCTCACGAGCAGGAATGAGATGCGTCGCGCGTTGAAGCGGGGGAGGGGACGGCCGAACAGCATATGTTGCTTCGGCATGCTGGGCAGATGGTGCGGCCGACAAAGCGGCGGAAGCGGCGGAAAGCTGCTTAGCAAGGACGCGGGCGAAGGCCGAAGCCGGTGGGACAGATTGAATTGATACTATCGTCAGCTGGTTCGGTGGGTTGATCGGTCGGTCAGTCGATGCGAGGAGGGTCAAGCTTAGGGGGCTGACATGGGGCGGAAGCTCCAGAAGGCCAAGCCAAACAATCAACGGACAATGGCTTCGCAGTTGGGAAGAATGACAACAGGTTAGGGGGATGAAAATGGAAGAGAAAAGCTTAACGAAAGAAATCAGCCTCCAAAGAGCTCGGGGAGCACGATTAGGGAAAGAAAAAAAAATAGGTGACGGCTTTATCGTCGACTCGCACCTTTCATCCCTTTTTTGCTTAGACTGGGGGGTGACGAAGACACGGTCGGCATAACGTAGGCAGCAAGGGAAAGTATCCGTAGCTCCTCCTGGGCAAATGTCATCTGTTCCCCTGGAAAATCTGGGCGCGTTCCATGCTTATGGGCAGGGATCATAAGTGGCTTACAGGTACTAAGGTAGTTAGACATGAGACATGGCTCTCGTGGCTAGAGCTGTGGCTGGTAGGTTGGTCTGATAAGGAATCTGGAGATAAGTGGACCTCTATCTTCCCCGTCTGAGTGTTGAGGTTGGTTCCACTTGCTAAGGATGAGGCAAATAGTGCCAACCATTGCACTTCTTTTCCTCGAGGTTTTGACTTGAAGGGTAGCATCTTGACATGATCCGACGCAAATAAAACTGTTTTTTGGTCTTGATTGAACAGCAATCCGGACCGCAATTGATGGGGGAAATTGTATGCCGCCCGCGGAACACCCTCAACCCCGGCCATTGAGTTCGTGTTCCTGTAGCTCAGTGGCACAGCACACAATTTCATTCCGTCTTGCCCTTTTGGCCAACCATTTAATCTAGGAATCACAGTCGAATGTGACCTTTTCTTCCATACCCATGTTCAGGGGACCGTACTCTAGGGATGTTGCCTCAAATGGGCCTAGTCAAGGCAGAGTTGAGATGAGTGCAAAGCCCCTCCAACAAATGCCGCCAATTTGCACTTTATGAGGCGCGTGTTTCCCCTCGCCCTCTCAACTTCAGAATCCGTGACAAACGTATATATTGCTGTTCTTCATGATGGTTTCTCGCTGTCGGCTAAGCCAAGTGCTTTTAGGTGTTGTATCGTTCTGGGCAGTTACTTCCCGAGCTGATTACTTCACTGAACCGCCAAGCTTCGAGTTGGACAGAACGGGCACCAGAGTTACTGTTTCAGACCTTAGCAACAGGTATGTCCTTGGGCAAAAAGTCCAGCTTACTTGGGAAGTCCCAAGCGTACCGTGGATTTCTCTTGTGCTGGTTCACTGGGGAAAAGATGCTGGCGTGCCAGTCGCCTCATTCATTAGTAAGTTGTTTTGTTGATTCATGGTGGTTGAGATCTCTCCTGGCTTACATGCGTAAAGCGAATGACCGCAACAATGGGTATTACACGTAGTATATCGGCGATGGCGACGGTATTACCAAAGAGATGTTGGCAGAAAACCCCAACTTTGCACTAAAAATCATCGACCCGACTGGTAATCACACCAAGACAGGCGAACCGGAAGGCTTCATCAACAACGAGTTGCAGAGCCGGGGATTTATCATCAGAACCAATGAGACAACAACGGCGACGGGGGCGACTTCATCAGCGACATCATCTGCGACACCAACAACGACAGGGTCTGCAAGCTCGGGGGGATCGATTGGTTTGTCGGGCGGTGCCGTGGCCGGTATAGCTATCGGATGCGTAGCGGCCGGTGCTCTTATAATGCTGGCTATCTGGTTTATCTGGCTTCGAAAGCGACGTTCTGGCAATAGCGAAGCCAACCTTGTGTCTGGACACCACCCAACACCAACTCTGCACCCCGTCATGCACCAAGATATGCGTCAGGACTCTGCATATGCAAGTCCTAACTCGTCAGGCGATCGCATGTTCGAGATTCAAAATACTCACAGAGCTCATCTGTCACATCAAACGAGCAACGTGAGTCCCGTTAGCCCGATGAGGCGGCACACGCCCCCGCCATCGTACCCGTCTCCGGTCGACGATTATGTACCGCCGATGACGGAGCTCTCTGGTGTCCGGGAACCCCAGGAAGTCCCGTCAACGAACCCCAACTACCCGCCAGAGCTTGCCGGATCCCATCACCATTAAGACCGCCGAAGGAGATTTCGTGTCATGTTTTGGAAGATGATGTCGGCGGTGATGCAGTATTATTGCCCAAATGTGTCGATTAACAGGGATGCGACGCAATCGGATCAGAACGGATGCAATACACACGACTAAGGCAACGAAGATACCCCTCTAACATCAGTCAGTATCAATCTAATACAGTAATGATCAGTAGTTTCATCTGATATCGCGCAACTGCGATTCTCCTTAATCTACATGTTCGCATATCCTGCCCGGGACGTTCCCTTGAACCGTTCCGTACACCAATGTTGGTTTGTATTGGTTGAATGGGGTGGCATGGCTGGACCCCCATAACTCCCCCATCGGGTTACCTCAGCTGGCGTGCGCACATTAGCACGTCAGGCTGGGCCTGAATAAATTTTTGCGGGGAGGGGCCAGAAGGCCGGACCGGAGCATGAAGGAGGCAAGAAAACCAGGGAACACCCAGCGACCGAGACCAAAGTTCAGGGTAGGGAAGGCACAGGAACTTGAAGGTACTGCCCGTTTTGTTTTTTGTGGTGTGCAGGTCAGTTAGGTCAAAATTTTGCCGCATTTTCCACCCTCGCCGAACTGGAGCTGTCTGCCGCCTGCGAAATAGGAATACTCAAAACAAAAAACTTACACCGCCCTCCCCCCAAACTGTGACTCAATCGAACCTCATCCTATTCCCACACGTCTTAACGCCGGTCTCTTTTTCTTCCCCGGTCGGTTCCTTGTTTCTAGGATATCTCTCAGTGGCAATCCAGTCATCTTACAGGCAATTGCTGTGCACTGCAACTTGTAACGTAGCACAGCAATTGGGCGGCCTGCTTATCCCCAAGCCTTTTTTTTTTTCCCTCCATTTAGTTACTCGTTATTTTCTCTCTCTCTTTTCCCCCTTACCCCTCCCCCGCCATGGCTCCTGAGCTTCCCGACCCCACCAGGTGAGTTCAACGCCTCCGATATGGAGCACGCGAGCTCAGTAGTGATGAGTATGAGAATTGCGATTGCAACATGCTGACACCAACTTCAGCGACCTGCATTGGTCTGCTTTTAGGGGCGCCATCCAGGATATCTTTTCCGAGAACGCCAAGAAGCACCCCGACAGACTATGCGTCGTTGAGACGGCTTCTTCTACCTCGCCTAGGAGAGAATTCACTTATCGTCAAATTGATGAGGCGTCTAACCTCCTCGCCAACCACCTGGTGGCTGCTGGTGTTCAGAGAGGAGATGTAGTCATGTTCGTCAATGACCCCTGAATATTATATACGCTTTTCATTGAATTCTAATTTTCTATTAGGAGCTACTCTCACCGTGGTGTCGACCTTGTCGTCGCCGTTTTCGGTATTCTCAAGGCTGGAGCCACATTTAGCGTCATCGACCCCTCATACCCCCCTGACCGTAAGTTGTGACAAGTTGATAACAGGAAAAAAACAAAAAACTGATTCAAATCACAGGCCAAAACATTTACCTTGATGTTGCCCGGCCACGAGCCCTTGTTGTCATTGACAAGGCCACCAAGGAGGCTGGAAAGCTTACTGACAAGGTACGGGCTTTCATCGCTGAGAACCTCGACCTCAAGACCGAGGTTCCCGCTCTCGAGCTCAGAGCAGATGGCAGCCTCGTCGGAGGTGAGGTCAACGGCAAGGACATTTTCGATGGCTTGGAGAAGGCGAACGGCCCCAACGTCCTCGTCGGCCCCGACTCGAACCCCACCCTCTCCTTCACCTCTGGCAGTGAAGGCAAGCCCAAGGGTGTCCTTGGCAGACACTACTCACTGGCTTACTACTTCGACTGGATGGCCGAACGCTTCAACTTGAGTGAGAAGGATAAGTTCACCATGCTTAGCGGTATTGGTAAGTCTTAGTTTAAGAACCGCCAATGCTTGCGGGCGTCCCATTAACAAGCGATAGCCCACGATCCCATCCAGCGTGACATTTTCACCCCGCTATTCCTTGGTGCTCAACTGTTGGTTCCCTCCAAGGAGGACATTCAGCATGAGAAGCTTGCCGAGTGGATGAGGGAGCATGGTGCCACCATCACCCATTTAACCCCGGCCATGGGTAACGTGCTCGTCAGCAACGCCAGTGCCGAATTCCCCGCTCTTCACCACGCCTTTTTCGTCGGTGACATTCTCATCAAGAGAGACTGCAAGGCCCTGCAGAAGCTGGCCAGAAACTGCTACATTGTCAACATGTACGGTACAACCGAGACTCAGAGAGCCGTCAGCTACTACGAGCTTCCCAGCGCTAGCGCCGACCCCGAGTTCTTGGAGAGGTTCCCCGACAACGTCATCCCCGCCGGCAAGGGTATGAAGGACGTGCAGCTCATTGTCGTCGACCGTGAGAACCATGAGCGCGTGTGCGGCGTCGGCGAGGTTGGCGAGATCTACGTCAGAGCTGCTGGTCTGGCCGAAGGATACCTGGCCAACGACGAATTGAACAAGGCCAAGTTCGTCAGCAACTGGTTCGTCAAGGACAACAGGTGGGCAGAGCTTGACCAGAAGGCGTCCCAGAATGAGCCATGGAGACAGTTCTACAAGGGACCCAGAGACCGCATGTACCGCTCCGGTGACTTGGGTAAGTACACCGAGGATGGCAACGTTGTCTGTGTCGGCCGTGCAGATGATCAGGTCAAGATTCGCGGTTTCCGTATCGAATTGGGAGAGATCGATAAATACCTGTCGGATCACCCCATGATTCTTGACAACGTCACGCTTGTCCGCCGCAACAAGGACGAGGAGAGGACTCTGATCAGCTACATCGTCCCTGATATGCAGAGATGGGCCGAGTGGCTGGTCCAAAATAACAAGCAGGACGATACCTCGGGCGGTGACAGCCTGACGGGTCGTCTCCGCCGATTCTGGCCTCTTGGTGACGAGATCCGAAAGTACCTCAAGACCAAGCTGCCCATCTACGCCATCCCCGAAATCATCATCCCCCTTGAGAAATTCCCCCTCAACCCCAACGGCAAGAAGGACAAGCCTGCGCTGCCCTTCCCCGACGCTGCCCAGTTGGCTGAGGCCCGTCCTCACATTGAGGTCGGCGACCTCAGTGAGACTGAGCGCAAGGTTGCAGGTATCTGGGGTTCTCTGCTTGCCAACGTTGACGAGCGAAGCCTCGGACATGAAGACAGCTTCTTCGACATTGGCGGCCACAGTATTCTGGCACAGCAGATGCTTTTCCAGGTCAACCGGACATGGCCCGGTGTCAACGTCACTATGGCCGTTGTCTTCCGCAGCCCATCCCTGAAGGCCTTCTCTGCTGAGATTGATGCCAAGATCTCTGGCACTGAGCCTGCGGGAGCTAACGCTGCACCTGAGGGTGAGGACTACTTCGAGGACGCCAAGAAGCTGCTGTCTACTTTGCCTGAGAAGTTTGCGCCGTTCAATAAGAAGGCCACTGAGGTCAAGACCGTTTTCCTCACGGGAGCGACTGGTTTCCTCGGTGCTTACATCCTTAGAGACCTTCTGTCTCGCGAATCGCCCAGCGTCAGGGTCATTGCTCACGTCCGCGCTATTGACGATGTTGACGCCTACAACAGAGTCGTCAAGAGCTGCCAAGCCTACGGCGTGTGGCAGCCTAGCTGGAAGAACTTCCTGACTGCTGTCCAGGGCAGTCTCGGCAAGCCTCTCCTCGGCCTGTCTCAGGAGCGGTGGAACACCCTCGCCGACGAGGTGGACGTCATTATCCACAACGGCGCCCAAGTCCACTGGGTTCTCCCCTACTCCAACCTCAAGCCTGCCAACGTTCAAGGCACGCTCGACGTCCTTTCGCTCTGCGCTACTGGCAAGCCCAAGCAGCTGGCGTTCGTATCGTCGACCTCCGTTCTCGACCACCCCCACTTCGTCAAGCTCTCTCAGAGCGGCAGCCTCGTCAGCGAGGAGGACGACCTCTCCGGCAGCTCCAAGAACCTTGGCAACGGATATGGATCAACTAAGTGGGTTGCCGAGTACTTGGTCAGGAACGCCGGCAAGCGCGGCCTGACCGGCACCATTGTCAGACCCGGCTACATCACCGGCGAGCAATACTCCGGTACCAGCAACACTGACGACTTCCTGCTGCGCATGATCAAGGGCTGCATCCAGCTCAACGCCCGGCCCAAGATCGAGAACACCATCAATATGGTGCCCGTAGACCACGTCGCCCGCCTCGTCGTTGCCTCGGCGCTGCACCCGCCCCGCCAGCCCCTGGGCGTTGCTCAAGTCACCAGCCACCCCAGACTCACCTTCAGGACGTACCTGGGCGCGCTGGAGAAGTACGGCTACGACGTGCCGGAGGTGGAGTACAGCCAATGGAGCAAGGCCCTTCAGGACTACGTCGCCGAGGGCAAGGAGCATGCTTTGTAAGTTGTCGTGCACATTCCGTTCATTGTGACTTTGCGCTAATCAATTTCAGGATGGGCCTATACCACCTTGCTACTACCGATCTCCCTGGCGACTCCATCGCCCCCGAGCTTGACGATGTTAATGCCGCCGCCGCCCTCCGCTCCGATGCCGAGCTGACGGGCCAGGATCTGTCTGCAGGTGGCGCCGTCAAGGATGAGACTATCGGACGGTACCTGAGCTACCTCATCGCCATCGGTTTCCTCGAGGCGCCGCCCAAGGCCGGAGAGCTCGCCATCCCTGCGGCTGACATCAGCCCTGAGCAGAAGGAGGCTCTCCTAAGAGTCGGAGGTCGTGGCGCTTTGGTTTAAATGAAAAGGGACAAAATTGTATCTTGAGAAAAACATGTTAGATATGAGATACTATGGGAAAATGGGATGGAAGTCAGTTTTTGATGAAAAGAGACCAAAAGAAAGGTTTTTAGATATGAATAAAGACAGTATAGTTGAGTTTGAAAATGAGTGTAGGCTTTGAAGAAACATGGGCATAACACAAGTCCCACTGAAATCGCACCCAATTCTGCCCTGGCGGCTGCCCCATAAATGTTAGTCCGATAATAGCCCGGTATTGGAAGCCGCTGGAAATCCATGACTACACACATACCTCGCACTTATCCCAATCAGCTTGACCGTCACCTCCCATACTCAAGAAACCAAAAAAAAAAGAATAAGGCGAAAGAAAAATAAACAAAAAATAACCTTTTATCCTGCAATGACCGACGCTCAGCCCGAGATGAAGATCGATCCAGCGAGAGCAAAGGCGCTCGTTTCCCAGCTGCAGTCCGTGCAGGAGCGCGTGGCCGCCGTGGCCGCGGGCCGAAATGTGAGTCCCCCCTCCCTCCCCCGGTTCCGGGTTCCGGTCCCTGCATGAAAGCGAGACGGAGGGGGGCAGCAGTTGATGACATCGACACAGGTCCGGCTGGTGGCAGTCTCCAAGCTTAAGCCGGCCAACGACATCCTTGCTCTGCACCAGGCCACGCCGCCGCAGGTGCATTTCGGCGAGAACTATGCCCAGGAGTTGGGGCAGAAGGCCGAGATGCTGCCGCGGAGCATCCAGTGGCACTTCATCGGAGGGTTGCAGTCCAGTATGTCCATCCCCCTGCGCAGTGGTTGCAATCACCGACTTTTTGAGAAGCAAATATATATATATATATATATTTGCGGGGAGGGACTTAGAAAGGAGCTAACGCAGCGCAGCACACGCCAAGAAGATCGCCAAGATCCCAAACCTCTTCTGCGTGTCCTCCGTCGACACGCTCAAGAAGGCGCAGCTGCTCAACTCGTCACGCGCGGATCTCATCTCCTCCGACGCGGCCGTCGAGCCGCTCGGCGTACATGTGCAGGTCAACACCTCGGGCGAGGAGTCCAAGTCCGGCGCGGCGCCGGGCGATGAGACGGTCGCGCTTTGCCGGGCCGTCGAGAACGACTGTCCGTCGCTGAAGTTCCTGGGTCTGATGACCATTGGCGCCATCGCGCGGAGCAAGGCGACGACGCCGGAGAACGAGAACGAGGACTTCTTGTGTCTGAAGGAGCAGCGCGATTTGGTTGCCAAGGAACTGGGGCTGACGAGAGAGTTGGAGCTGAGCATGGGGATGAGCGAGGACTTTGAGGGGGCGGTGAAGCTGGGTAGTAGCGAGGTCAGAGTCGGCAGTACTATCTTCGGGGAGAGGGGGCCCAAGAATGAGGCGAAGCTTGTTGTTTAGAAATGCGAGGGTTTGAAGAATGGATCAAGTATGGAAATCTGCTCGTCATGTTCGTCGTGAATTTGTGTGTGTGTGTGTGTGCTGGTAGCGGGGTGTGAGTCGATGGCGACAGGCGTACGTTTGTTGTCGTGGTTTTCTGGATATCCATCTGCGGAATTGAGTACCAATGATGCTGTAGTTCTCGAGGACCAGGTTATCACGTACATCGCAAGTCCTATAATAATACCCCTCATAACAAAGTATTAGCTTCTTACGCGCTAAACACATTGGATGAGCGAGTGAGGCCCTTTGTATGTTGAAAGAAGGTGCTGGTGCACTCTGGTTTTAGATACATCAGGTCTATAGCTAAAGTATCTACGGGCTAGGTGACCCCGGAGTTCACCCAAGTAAGTCATTCACACGCCTCACAGTCTATGGCCGTTTTACTTGGCCAACACCCTCTCATCATGACATTGAAAATTAGATGAAAAATACCTGGGAGCCAAGTATTTCGCTCGTTAACCACGCAATCAAAACTTCCAGAGTCACTGAAGTGAAGGTCCAAGGCTGCTCTACATATTATCGTCTCGAGACTGGCCAAGTCGCAGCCCGTGGAACAATTGAAACGTGAGTAACTTTGTCGATGCAACACAAGGCAATGAACATATCACAACAAGCACGGGTCACGGTCAAAGTTGGGTGAAACGAGTTGTATTAGACCTCCGAACTCCATAACACCAAACGCCATCCAATACCATAATAACTCCTTGGCTCGGGGTATCAATTTATGATCCTTCCTTACAGCCACCCAGTAGGGAAAGAATGCCTTGGCCCGGGGTATCATTTTTTGATCCTTCCTTAACGCCACCCCCCTGTGAAAGAACATCTTGCGCCAGGATATCGTTTTTGATCCTTCTTAAGCGCCATTCAAAACCCAGTTACTTTCATTACCGCATTTAAATTCAGTCTCAGACGTGAAAACGCCCATAATAACAAAATCCCACAACTCGTTTCACCCTCCAACAGCCTTCGACACTCTCCACACTCTCAACACTCTCTTTTCGCCTCTTCTACCAATATATATTGATGATTTCATAGCTCATAGGAGCCCCAGGTGAACCTTTTCAAAGATGGCCGTCAGGTTGTTTGTCAGGTTGCCTACAAGGTTGCAAGTGTCCTCAACTGGGCTGGCTTGCATGCGACGGTCGATCCTGTCAAGTGACCAGCCTTCGTTGACGAAAAAGTGGCTGATGATGTGGCCGTCCTTGTAGGATTCCTCATGTGTGAGACGGACTAGCACTTCGCCCAAGATTCTCACGTAGTCTGTCGCCTTGGCCAAGAGATTTTCAAACTCCTTGCGAGACTCCTTGAGCTTGGTTCCCCTGATGACGGCGGGGAGGTGAACCATCCGACGGATTTGATTCTTGTACCAAGTCATTGGCTCCAGGTCCACTTCTGCCCCTGCGATTGCAACCATTTTTGATGCTAAATCCACAGGTCGACCCATTTGGACGCCAAGTTTTGAAGCTTTGGCTGCGTTGCTGTTTTGCACCAAGCTAACGGAGAGGAAGACTAGTTCGGCCAGGTAGTTGATGCAGGCCTCAAGTGCCAGTTCGAAGCGAGATTCGACCGTGTTGTGAGTGCGCGCGTCGTCACCTGAGCGGACGCATTGTGTGATGTTGCGGCTCAGGCAGTTCTTGCAAGCGCTGGCTCCGTCTTCGAAAGCGCACCTGATCTTGCTTCTTCGGCAGCGTGCGCAGGCGTTAGCAGCGACCTGGCGCTTGCCGCTGCCGTCTTGTTTCTTGTTCTTGCCAGCGGCCTTCTTGGCTACTTTGGCACCCTCGTTTGCGGGGCCAAGGATGGTGTTATTGTTGTTGTTGATGAAGTTGTCCTGCGGTGCCGGGGGTGCTCGAGGCACGGGCTCGGCAGGCAACAGGGGCCACAGAGGACTCATCGGCGCTGGGCCTGCCCCTATGGCTCGCTGCATAGCATCCCCGGCGGACTGTTGATGTTGTTGTTGTTGCTGCTGCTGTTGTGGCTCCTGGGCAACGGCATTCTTAAATGTCGGGAGGCACAGGGCAATGGTTGGCATTGGGCCTGCCCCTTTCGACTTTGCTTTTGCCGGCTGTGCCTTGGCTTGAGCTTTTTGAATGGAGCCTCTGCCAGCCACTTGTTCTTGCTTTTTGTTCGTTTTGGTTTCGTTATCCGCCTCTTGTCGAAATTGCTCTTCCAGATCCTCTTCAAGCTGCCGCAACATGGGATCCTCTTCCCAGTCTCCCTGTGTAGATTGTGCCTCTCCATCCCCGAAAAGCGAGATATCGTCTGGCGAGGACGTATCAGCGCTGAGTTGAGCCTCCACGTGTTGCATTTGGAGCTGAGGAGGCTCGACGAAAAGACCGTCCAAGTTGGAGGTGTCGTCAAAGTTGGTGTTTATTGCACCAAACTCATCAGAATGATGAGGGTTGAGCAGGTTCTCATGAGGGAAATCTAGGTTGCCATCCAAATTCCAGTTCATGAGACCTGGACTGTTGTGAGGCTCCGGTTCGTCAGGCTGGAGCTGAAGCTGAGCAGTGGGGCCAGTGTCGATATGGGCGTCACTGCCGTTGCTGTTTGCTTGGTTTTTTGTTTCTTGGTTGTAAGTGGGAGCAAGTCCACTGGCTTGGAAGTTGGCCATGCCATTGGGGGCTCCCATGAAGGGGTTAGCAGCATTTCTTACGAACTCCTGAGGAGGAGCGAAGAAGTTGGCTTGTTGCTGCTGAGCCCAGGCGTTTTGACTGTTCTGGCCGAATTGATTCTGGCCGAACTGGTACTTGTCGCCTTGATTGAAGTAGTTGTTGGTTGTGGGTTGCGCGTAGCCGGAACTAGCGAAGGGGTGGTTGAACGAGGACATCTTGGAGTACTGAGAAATACTGTCACAGGGTTGGACTTTAATGCTATGAGAATAGCAAGAGGAAGAGAAGCCAATATGCTTGACCGAAAGAGAAGTTTAGAAGAATGTACAGTAAAGAATTATAGACAAGAAGTCAAGAAAAGAAAGATGAATAGCGATTGGGTATCGAAAGTTGTAAGAAGCAATGAGACAATTCAGACTTGAGCAGCAGAATGGGATAAAAAAGAGCAATGACAGAAAAGCATAGGGACCCGGTACATTATATAGGGCCAATTAACAAGGTTACCGACTACCCGGAGAGGTGAGGACAAACCGTGGATGAGTTTCCAAGGGAATACAGCGTTTTAACCGGGGAAATGTATCGATGAAGGACCGGAGAGAGCCTAAGTTTCTAGACCTTCATTGAGGGACTGTTTAAAGTAATCGATCGGGGGCAAATGACCCGTACTTCAGCGAAAGTATCCGTCGAAGGGAATCATGATGTTGTGCTAGGTCGTGGGCAATGGCTTTCAGACAGTCCGCAAAATGGATTAGCGGGAGCTACTGAGTCGAACGAGAACTGAACCGATAGGCCATCTGGGGAATATAGCTAAACAGCACACACTTCAATTGGAAAAAGTACTCTTTAATCCATCTTGGGTAGCCTGACAGAGTCCCTTGCGGGTCAAATACCCTCTCCATGTTGAGAATCAGTACCACGGATGGATGGCCACAGCCCCGGCACATCGTTCCGGCCCACAAGTACCTTCCTTCTTCAAGGTATTCATTGTATGATTTGAAAATTTTCAATTACGTTTGTTACTTTATCCTCTTCCATCTTATATTCTTCAGTTGAATTGAATTGATTGTTTGAAATGCTCCCATCATGACAATTCAGTTGTACTACAAGGCCATGTCGTTGAAGTTAGCACTTGGCGGCGGGGTGATCGTGGGGGTAATCTGCAACCGTCGCTGGAGGCTAGCGAATGGCGAATGCTGATTGGCCACTTTAATGAGATGGTACCTGAAATGATGGGGTATCACTGTTGCATAATGCGGGAGGACCCTGGATTTTTAATTAGCCTTTGCACGAACATGAAGAGCGATTGATCTAAACAGCCAGGAAACTCTAGCCGATGATACTGCACTTTTTTCTCAATTTCGCAAGCCCAATTCTCGACGTCATTAGATGAACCATTTCGACCATCCCCGAGTACGCCTGTACTGTGCAACGCAAAGTACACCTACCAGTGTAACATACCCGGATGAGCCCCATTTCTAACTTTTGCTTTACGTCCCAACCAAGGCTCACGATGGGGCGCTCGCCACTTCTATGGCGGTGTATGCAAGAATCTCTACGGTTATCAGTTACCTGTACCTCTCTCTCAGTTAGGGACGGGGATGTAGGAGTGTACTGAGAGACCCCGGGGTGTAAGTCAACGAGTGCAGAATTAAACCTTTCACGAACCTTGGAGTTCCAGTTATAGTTGTTACGAACAAGGGGGGGGGGGGGAGTGGCAAGTGGTGTGATGGGGGTGTCATTCCGAACGCTATGTCTACACCCCTTGGACAACCTGTGCCCCAGGAATCCCCAGTTGGAAGGGGGAGAAAAGTGCAGGGCAGCGAGGGTGCCGAGATGCACTTGCAGCTGCAAATGATTACAAGGCAGGTTGATTGGAATCGCGACATATGTTCGTGGTGTTGAGGCATAGGACTTGGGGTCCCGGCTCAAACTACCAGCCAAAGCATGTGCATGAGTGTGAAAACCACTGAATTGTACTCTGGGTATGGGCATGATTCTTCATAGTTGTCTTTGTAAAACCATTACTAATTTAATTCATTGTGTATCGCTCAGCCGCTTTCAGTCTCATGCTTGTACTCGTGTAAGACTGTCGAGATCTGTAAGTAGGTGATGGTCCACCAAGAATGCAAAACATTCATCAAACCTCATCTCCCCGAATTAATGTGATCAGTGGGCTTTTCAGTATATCACATATATCCATCCCATCTAGTTGCTTTCTATTTAACAATGCTCTGAGGACAGCAAGTCTGGCGAGAATGTTGTGAGCAGCGTTCCTTTTGAAGCTTGACCTGGCTGCAGATCGTTGTAGTTCGCTACACTGCATCATATTCTGCGTCTTTGCGATGACTGGCAAGACTCTTATCTGTTCAGATAAGTGCAATTTATCATTCTCATTCTCACGAGAGAATATCACTCAACGCTTGATAATTGTCCAGTCCCGCCGGCTTCTCAGTTCTGCATTCTGCAGGCCAACTTTTACTATAAGACAGTAATCCTCAGGCGGACTTAGGAGCGCCTAATGTAGTTCTGCTAGGTCATACAGATGCCGAGAACCCAAACCATAGAACAGGCAAGCTATCGCGGACGCCTACTTTCCCGACCTTAAATCTCGCCATAGCTAATATATCAATATTAAATCAAGGCTCACAATCGCTATATTCAGTCTGAACATACGGTTAATAAGGGAACCATATTCAGATAAGGCTCAACTTGAAGCACTCAAGTAGCAAAAGAGTTCAGGCCATCGGTGTCGAATTGGCCCTACATCTCTGGTGCTCATGCTGGGAATATCTCGGTCTCGGTTGCGTTTTTCTCGGCTCGAACTCGGAACCTCCACTCCCAACCTATTCCTAGACCTCATACCATAAACCTCCACGCCACATCGAACACACTTTGACCAGAAGCTCCCATGCCCAGAAGCTCGCCCGTATGCTGGCGAAAGATTTGTGAATTGGGATATGATATATAGTCTATTCTTCTCGTTCTGCTGGTATCTTGATGATAGAATGGCATTTTAATGTCTCCCCGTGTCTTCGATCCTTGCCCCTTGATGCCACCTTCCCTCCCAACCCGCACCTTCCTTCCCCTCCTAGAGTTGAGGTCATCACAACGACTGCTGCTCAGAAACGCCACGTCTGTACCAACTCAGAATTATCTTTTATTCCAACGGTAGATGAAGTAGTTCACGATAAACTGTCAGTTGCAGACCCCTACTTTCACAATTGCCTCCCCTCAGCTTCACTCTCTCACCCTGCCTACCACAGTGCATCACCCTTCACCCCCCACCCCCGGCGCTTTCCACACCATTTTTCTGGGCTATCTACCTCTTCTTCTCACTTTATAAAACATCATAAACTAATTGTTTCATTTGAAAACGCATCAAATTAGGACCTCATCGCAAATGTCCAAAGCGAGGCCGTGCCTCTTAGTTTTGGAATCACGCCCCATACTCTCATCGACATCCAGGCATCTTTACAAGCTGTCAAAGGGGCTAATTGATTTCTTCAGCAAATGCGAGACCGAAATGACGCCCCTTTTCTTGTATTAGCATTTGAACTTACTACTTTTGTGAAGCTGCAAGAAATATTGCCGTCTTTCGCCCCGTCTCTCATATCTTCCTCACTTAGCTGAGTGAAGTATGCCCCTGAACCGCTGTCTGCTGCTATATCAACGACACATGCTAATTAAAGCTCTCACTAATAGAGTCCACTGAAATCAGCCGCAAGAAATCAAAAGTCGCTACGAAAATACGAATCAGGTATCACAACACCGAACCCGCCCCACCCCTGAGAACCTCAGCTGTCCGCTCGTATGTATTGTATTATTTTCTGGGTATCATATCTTGTGACTACAGATGAGACGTGTTTCTGGCACTCGTCGCCAGCTGTCTTCGTATGTTCCAATCAACCATCCTCAATAAGGGAAGGTTTTAATGCAAAGGTTGCTACTCTGACCCTGTAACGCCCCATGTCCGAACTCCAAATGTGAACGAGACCATTGAAATCACATCTCAGATAAATGAGGACAGAACTACTGCTATCGTGGCAGCGATAGAAAAGCTTAAAGGGATAGCCAACATGCCTGCGGCGCCGTCCGGCCCACTCTTGCTTGATGTTTCCGCAGCTGCTGCACTGCCTGTGACTTTTGACATAGTAGTCTGAGTCGGGAAGGTATCATTGACATTGCCAGTGGCGGTAACCCCTGGGCAGACGCCTTGAAGGAGTTGTTGAGTGTATAGGTTCGCCGCCTCTGTCGGACAAACAATCGTGAGGCAATCTCTGAGGAGGAAGTCAGCTACGGGTGCTGCTGGCTTAAAAGAGGCAGGGTCAAAACTCACCGTCCGATGGTTTGGTATGCTGGGCATAAACAATCAGTCAAGACGCCGGAGGCGTCCGTATCTTTAAGTGTACGAGTTGCGTAGGGCGAACAATCGCTTTTTGTCAGCTGTGCTAGCATCGCAGAGTTTGTGCAGGCCGAGTAGGACCTGTAACCTATGTCAGCGATTCCATTTTCGACTTTTGGCAGGCAGAGTGAAACCTACATCCAGGGCGCAATGAGACCCCTTGTTGTACAGAGCTCTTCCCAAGGCGTTGTTCTTGGCTTCGCTGGACCAGCTAATGTGGGCATAATGGCAGGTATCGATTCGGTCTGCGATGCTGTCTGCGCAATCGCAAGCCGAGGCATGACGAGAACGCAGAAAGCGAGTAAGGGGAGCAAGAAGCCCCTTCCATCGATTGAGCTTCCGGCCATGTTTGCTCCGTAGTTGTCTTGTTGAGTGTTCTATATCCTGCGGAGTACTACTCAAGAAGCTCTACTCGGTGTATAAGCGCAGTAACTCGAGATGGTGTTCACACAGCCAAACCCCGCGTCATGGGGGACGCGACACTTAAATGAGAAGAGGCACACATTGATACTGAGATTATCGGCATTCAGGGGAAATTGCATTTGGTTCAATCTGTCTTTAGCTCCGCTGCTGCGCCGCTTGGTTGCATCACAGGGTAGTAGTTAAACCACTTGCGTACTATTCTATATAAAAGTCCCGAAGAGCGCTCATGTACGGGTTCATGCTGAGTGGTGAGGCTAACATGCACGGTTGTTTAGGGAAGGGGATTGGGTATGTCAAAAACTTGCTGTGGGAGACGTCGAAGATTGGCCTGGTTGTCTTTGTGATGATGCTATCGTGAGATAAGTGAGCCACAGAGCTGTCAAGAGTGTGACCTTAAAGATGTGTATTTGGAGCTAGTTGGAGCTGCCATCTGCCGACGGGTGTCAGCACCTGACACTGGCCGAGGTCTGTTGACCATGGAAGCCGACGATATGCGGCCAAGCTCCTGTGCCCCAGCTATTGCAGTTGCTTTGTGACCTGTTACTGACCAACCCCTCGTTGACCTTTTCAAAACAATTCAACCTGAAAAATGTTTTCTATCCGTCCAGCGATCTGTAGGGCATGCAGAAGGACTCAGCTCCGCCCCTTACGAGGTCTTGCAACCGCCAACGGCCCAATTCAGCAGCCGCCCCGCGACAACTACGTCAAGCTTGTTGAGGTCGGCCCTCGAGATGGTCTGCAAAACGAAAAGAAGGCGATACCCCTCGCCACCAAAATTGAACTGATTGAGAAGCTTGCGAGAACTGGAGTTTCAACGATTGAAGGCGGATCTTTTGTCTCTCCCAAATGGGTCCCCCAGGTAAATTCTCCGTCGTGGTCTGATCATGATTGAAACCTTTCTAACGTCGGATCACTTACAGATGGCCAACTCGAACGATATCCTAGAGCACATTCTCACACGAAAGGTTTCTTCGCCTTCACAAATATCATACTCCTTCCTCGCCCCCAACACCAAGGGGTTGCAAAACGCTCAGGCTCTGCTGGCAAAGTACCCGGGCGCCTTCGCATCGCAGCTCCAGCCATCGTCCGATGCGTCGACACCCGCAGTTGAAGTCGCTGTGTTCGCAGCTGCTACCGAGTCTTTTTCCAAAAAGAACCTGAACTGCGACATTGCGACATCTTTGGACCGCTTCCGTGAGGTTATTCGTGAAGCGAAAGCAGCTGGTCTCCGCGTTCGCGCATACGTTTCTGTCGTCCTTGGCTGCCCCTTTGAGGGCTACGATGTCGACCCTCACAAAGTGGCCGAGATCGCAACGGACTTGCTCGAGTCTGGCGCTGACGAGATCTCTTTGGGCGATACTACCGGTATGGGCACTGCGCCGCGGACCAAGGAACTGCTGAACTGCATGCGGGCAGCGGGCATCAGGAACGAGGACATTGCGATGCACTTTCACGACACATATGGTCAAGCACTAGTCAACACCGCCGTGTCGCTTGAACATGGCATTCGCACGTTCGATAGCAGTGTCGGTGGACTTGGAGGGTGCCCTTACAGTCCTGGTGCTACTGGAAATGTGGCTACGGAAAATATGATATACTTCATTGAAAGTTTGGGTATGGATACTGGTATCGATCTGGATGCTATGGCAGACATCGGTGCCTGGATCACCGGGGAGTTGGGTAAGAGTAACGACAGCACTGTTGGCAAGGCCGTTTTGGGGGCCAGAGCTCGTGAGGCGACAGCAGCGTAGTTTAGTTGACTGAGAAATCCATAACCAAAAATTTTGACTTGTTTTTTATCACTGTTTGCGTCTCCATTGATAATTGGTTGAACTTCTAGCAGGCTGGCATTCTCTGTATCGTGCCGTTTCCAATCCAAGCCAATGTCTGAGAGGGGAGGTGCAGTCATGTGATGTCACTGCCACACTACAGCGGGCCAAAGCTGATGCTGACACTGGCACTGAAGCTCTTACGCCCGCGCCCCCCAGCGATTTATCTTATCGGCGCCACCAGCTTGCCGAGCGGTCTCCACCAAGACGAAGCAAGCTCCAGTCCAGTGCAGCGCAGTAGACGACACTGACCTGCCAACCTCCTTCAGTTACGTTACGCCGCGTACATCACCTCCCATCAACCAACCATCCGCCCACCTACGCCCTTCATACCGACGCCCTCGCCCCTCCAACTCGAATCGATTTCTGATCGGGCGCTGTCTCATTGATTGTCGACGCAATGAGTGACCCGCGGGAGCCCTCCTACTCGATCGTGCCGAGAATTCGGTACAACACCGTCGGCGGTGTCAACGGACCCCTCGTCATCCTCGAAAATGCATGTGTCGCCCGCCAGACTGCTTTGTGGGCAGCAGAGGTTGAGGATATATGCGCTAACTTTTACCTAGGTCAAATTCCCCAGATACAACGAGATTGTGTCTTTGACCCTCCCCGATGGAACCAACAGACAGGGTCAGGTCCTTGAGGCTCGAGGTATTTACCTATCCAACCCGCATCCACGACGACATTTATGCTGACAACATATTGTAGGCGACAGGGCAGTCGTCCAGGTATGCGAAACGAAGCGATGACTCGAGTAACACCGATTGACGATGGAATAGGTCTTTGAGGGCACATCAGGCATTGATGTCAAGAAGGTATGAGATCATCGCCATCTCTATCTAGTATTGCGTGCGCTAAATCACCGCCAGACGAAAGTAGAGTTCACGGGCCAGAGCTTGAAGCTCGGTGTGTCGGAGGACATGCTTGGTCGTATCTTTGATGGTTCCGGACGTGCTATCGACAAGGGCCCCAAGGTCCTCGCCGAGGACTACCTCGACATCAACGGCAGTCCCATCAACCCCTTCTCTCGTGTACGTCTCCTCTCGACTTTGTGGGCGCCGTCAAGAAACTGACGTTTGTTAGGAATACCCCGAGGAAATGATTTCGACCGGTATCTCTGCCATCGACACCATGAACTCCATTGCTCGTGGCCAAAAGATCCCCATTTTCTCCTCGTCTGGTCTGCCGCATAACGAAATTGCCGCCCAGATTTGCCGACAGGCTGGTCTCGTCCAGCAGAAGGGCGTCACTAACAAGGGCGTTCACGACGGCCACGAGGAGAACTTCTCCATCGTTTTCGGTGCCATGGGTGTCAACTTGGAAACCGCTAGATTCTTCACCCGCGATTTCGAGGAGAACGGTTCTTTGGAACGTGTCACTCTTTTCCTTAACCTTGCCAACGATCCTACGTAAGTTACTTGAATATCTGATAAAGTGGCTGAAAACTAACCCATTGTAGGATTGAGCGTATCATTACTCCTCGTCTTGCTCTGACGACTGCCGAATACTACGCCTACCAACTCGAGAAGCACGTCCTCGTCATTCTGACTGATCTGTCGGCCTACTGCGACGCTCTTCGTGAGGTTTCCGCCGCCCGTGAAGAAGTCCCCGGTCGTCGTGGTTACCCCGGTTACATGTACACTGATTTGTCCACCATTTACGAGCGAGCCGGCCGTGTCGCGGGTCGTAACGGTTCCATTACTCAGGTGCCTATTCTGACCATGCCCAACGAGGATATCACTCACCCTATTCCCGATTTGACGGGTTACATTACGGAAGGCCAGATTTTCGTCGACAGAGGTCTGTACAACCGTGGTATCTACCCGCCCATCAACGTCCTGCCGTCTCTGTCTCGTCTCATGAAGTCTGCCATCGGTGAGGGCATGACTCGTAAGGATCACGGCGATGTTTCCAACCAGCTTTACGCCAAGTACGCCATTGGTCGTGACGCCGCTGCCATGAAGGCAGTCGTCGGAGAGGAGGCTTTGTCTGCCGAGGACAAGCTTTCGCTGGAGTTCCTTGAGAAGTTTGAGCGCCAGTTCATCAACCAGGGCCAGTACGAGTCGCGTTCCATCTTTGAGTCTCTTGACCTGGCATGGAGTTTGCTCCGTCTTTACCCTAAGGAGTTGCTCAACCGTATCCCTGGTAAGATTCTTAACGAGTTCTACCAGCGTGCGGCGAAGGAGGCCAAGGACAAGGGCAAGCAGAGGCAGCAGGTGCAGCAGAACGAGGAGAACTTGATTGACGCATAAACGGAGGATGCCGTGCGTGCGGTGGCCTGGTTTCCTCGAGAGCCGACTGTGGAAGGATAGTCGGTTAACACTTGTGTATACGTATGTTGGGGGGGGCCTGAGTGAGTGTTGGGCAGCTTTTGGACCTAGACAATGGCATGCAATTATTAGTTCTTATCATGTCGCGGTCTGAGTGAATTGGTTGGCACTTTCATGTTGTTTGAATTGAAAATATAATTAGTTGACAAAAGTGGTACTATCTTGTCTTTCATTGTGACATCTCCATGGCTTACAAGCCGATCTGCACCGAGTTCAGATATTGGCAATGTATTCAAGCGCCGCACGGACCAGCTTCGTCGACCAGCCGCACCGCCTCACAGAACCCCACATCCTCCACACTGGGCCAACTCCCCACCATCGCCTGCGGCTACCTTACCTCACCTCCCGACCTTACGCAAGGCACAGTTCCCAGCCAAACCAACGACGGCCACCACCCAATTGCGCCACGAACCGACGACTGCGAGTATTCCTGTATTTATCGCCCTTATACAAGAACCCCATAAGCTCACTCAAAGTTCAAGTCAACCGAGAAAGCCGCCGTCAGAATGTCCATCATCCAGCAGCACACTGCTGATACGCTCAGTGATGCCTGGCGCACTATCAACATCGACGCCCTGCAAGAGGACTCGGCGGTCAACTTTGACACATCGACGCTGCACCCGCCGCAACCTGAAATTGACGAATCCGAGGTTCGTAATCTCGCCACCCAGGTGCGGCAGCTGCTCCGTGGCGGTGATGCCGAGGGTGCGTTGAGGGGATGCTTGGAGTTTCCCGTCTACAATGGCGCTGATGCTGCCAAGGTGCGTTTGTTTGTTTTATTTCTCTGCGAATGAGTTACACAATTGTAACTAGAGCTTCAAACGTGGCTGGTTTGCTAACGGTTACTTGTGCGAGAGCAGGACGCTCACCTCCAGACCATCACCGAGGTCCTCCAGTCTATCAAGGCTTCCGAGATGACGCCTCTCCTCAAGTCCATCTACGGCTCCCCCGGCGGCCCCGAGCTGGTTGACGTCCTCATGAAGTACATTTACAAGGGCATGGCCGGTTCCTCGAGCGGTTCCGGTCTCAGGTCGCCGCCGCCGCAGGCCGCGCCCGGCGGGTTCAGCCAGATTGGCGGTCGCCCTGGAGCCACGAACGAGAACGTTGGAAGCGCCATGAGCGTGCTGCTCAGCTGGCACGAGAAGGTCGTCGACGTTGCTGGATTGGGATCTATCGGTCGTGTCATGACGGACTGGAGACGGGTTTAAGCGAAAGCAAGACGGAGGAGGAGCGAGATAACGAAGTTCATGATGGAGTGGGCATGCTCTGGAGCTTTAGGAGCTCTGCCCAGTCATTTTTCCCACCCAAAAACAGACAGACGGGACGTGCCAACAATGAAAGCCATAGATTTTTGTTTGCGTTTATTTTTTTATTTTTTTTTACAAGGTTTACACAAGTTGTACATGAACCCCTGAAGAGTCTAGTTGGACTCCAGGATGTCCTTGAGGTTAATCTCTCCGCTTCCTCTGGGCAACGGTTTCGCCTGCTCTCCGCCTTCGCGCCATCCGATCATGTAAATCACCCTAAACGTCGCCGGGAGGCTGCCGTCTTCGTTTCCGTGCAGCTCCCTGTAGATACCCTCATTTGCCAGCAGCACGTCCCGGCGAATAGCGCCCATCTCGCGGCCGAGGATGGCGTTGCCCTCGCCCATGGCCTGCAGGTCCTGCATCAGCGCAAACGTGTCGGGATAGTCGACAATAATGTCGTCGACGTCGACCGTCAGCATCTTGAAGCCTGCACGCTGCATCAGGCCGCCCACGTCGCGGACGTCGGCTAGCGGAGAGACGTGGGGCGAGATGCCTCCCCGGCGTTCTTGTTCTGCGAGCTGGAGCGATGTGCGCAGCTCAAAGAGACTGTCGCCACCGAGCATGGCGCCGATGAAGGGGCTGTCGGGTTTCAAGACATTGTTGATTTGCGTGAGGACACCCGGAAGGTCATTGATCCAGTGGAGGCTCAGGGAGCTGAGGACGAGATCGAAAGAGGCGGGCTCGAAGGGGACGTGCTCTTCGTCGACGAGCACCTGGCGGGTGATATTGATATCGGAATTGAAGGGAAGGTCGGCGTCGCGGTGGAGGAGAGCGTGAGAGGACTCGGCGGCAATGAGCTCTTCTATGCGGGTTGCGAGAGGTGCAGAGATCGGTTTGGCCGGGTCTGGATCGGGGTTCTCTCGTGTAAGGGCACGGGCGATGTTGCAAGAGTTTGCGCCGAGGTCAAGGGCGCGGGGGAAGCTTCGTTTGATGTCCTGTTAGAAATCCCATCTTTTATCAGTATTCGTCCCATTGAGTTCGAAGCTTGCGACTGGAGTGGGGAGGAGGAGGAGGAGGAGCATACGAGTAACCTCTCACAGAGACGATGTGCGACCTCGTCCTTGAGATAATCGGCCTGCCTGCTGGCCTCAGGGTCTGAGGCGGCGCGTTCTTTTTGCAGCCATTTCGTGCGGCGGTTGAAGACCTGGAATGATGGAGCGCCGGATGCTGTGAAGGCGTAGGACCGGCGGGAAGCAGCTAGGGGACCGAAGGCGGAGGCGGCGCCGGTAGGAAACCGGGGGTTCGAGGCCGTAAGGCACAGCCGTGTGATTGTGTGGTTCATTGGTCGCATTACATTTCTGACGGCAGACATGAAGACTGCGAGCAAGTTGCCTTGCTTGGACGAGGTCTGTGTGAATAAATGAAAGGTGGGGGAGGCGAGGTAGAAGAAGGCTTGTCCTCTTTTTTTTTGTTTTTGGTTTTCTGGTTTTCCTTCTTCTTATTGAACCGCGCGAGGGGAGGGGAGCTTGCAGCAGCTAATGGGATTTTCGGACTTCGATGATGCAGAGCAGCAGTCAACCCAAGTTTTAGCGGGCCGCGGTACGTAGTTCGAATGCAATGACGGGGTTATGATAGGTGGGTTGTTTTGTAGTAGCACCTCATGCGCTATCCGTAGTAGTACTGGCCTTTTACCTTAACGGCCGCTGCACAGGGTTGACAGGCTGTCTCGTGCTCTAACCAACCCCCCCGGTCCCACCAAATTTCCAGACTGCAAGAGCACCAGCACCAGCACCAGCAGCTACAAACATAGGTGTCAAGCAGCAAATAGCGGCTTGGGGAAGTGCCCTTGCATCCCTGACGTGCCCAGTCTTCAAGCAACAAGCAAACACCGAAGGGGGACACAAGCACCTGACGGGACGCTGGGGGACCTCTGGAATTGTGCCCTGCAGTTCTTTTGACAGGCCTCCCGGTTGCAGCAGGTCGCACAGAAGCGGAAGCTCTCTCACTCACTAACCATCTCCACACGCCAAATCAGATTCCCAAGCCTTCCGGGGCCTCCACTGTCTCCAAGTATCGTTTCCCGCCGCGGGCCCTCACCTTACCCCCTCGAGCCCCTTTCCCTGGCCCTTTTTTCCACTCTTCTGCTCCTTCAGCGCAACGCCGGGAAACGACACCTTCGTCAAAGAACGCGAACCCAAAATCTGCGCTCGCACCGTTCAGGAGACAAACGTACGTCAGCTGCGTTCAGTCCTCTTCCCACCCGCGCGCAAGCTCAACGGACGCACTGTTAAGACACCCGCAGCGGCACTTACCGGTCGGTTTCGAGTTCGATTCGCCGAATCCACCGTCCACCGATCGACCGTTGAATAGTTCCCACCCCCCAAAACCTCCCACGCCGCAACCGAAAGCTGCTGGGTGCTCGATCACAAATCCGACAGCTCCTTTGCGCGCATGGAGTAATCCCCTCAACGCTCGCCTCAGAGCAGCTTTCCTTCGTCGGTTATAGCAGCAGTAAATCGTCCGCTCGAATCGAAGAAGACAGACCCCCCGGTCCTCCCAAGCACCTAGTTCAGACCGCGCCCAAGCCCACATAGTGGCAAGACCGACGCCTCCGCCAGTCCGGTTTACGATATCCCCCACGAGCAGAATCGATTAGAGAGACTTTAGAACGATACCCCAGCGAACCCAATAGCAACCGCAGCCATGTCGTCCTCGGGAAGCGGCTTCCTGGGCCGCTCCACCAGCAACAACTCCAACATGCGAGGTCTGGTGCAGTTTATTGCTGATTTGAGAAACGCAAGAGCTAGGGAATTGGAGGAAAAGCGAATCAACAAGGAGTTGGCCAACATTCGGTGAGTAGCAGATTGTGTCTTCCACCGGGCTCTGTGGTCTCGTGACAAGATGCTAACATCGCTGGTGTGTAGTCAAAAGTTTAAGGGTGAGATTCGAGCGTGTACGGACATTGCAGTCTACCTTTTTCTAACCCCGGGACAGATGGAAACCTCAGCGGATACCATAAGAAGAAATACGTGTGCAAGGTACGGTCGGCTCTCATCGTCTGGCGTGTCATGGTGTTGACGATTTGTGAAGCTCCTATACATCTATATCCTAGGATGGAACGTCGATTTTGGTCACCTCGAAGCGGTCAACCTCATCTCGGCGAACAAGTACTCTGAGAAGCAGATTGGATATCTGGCCATGACCCTGTTTCTGCACGAGAAGCACGAGTTGCTTCACCTAGTCGTCAACAGCATACGGAAGGACTTGTTGGATCATAATGAGTTGTTCAACTGCCTGGCTCTCCACGCAATCGCCAACGTTGGTGGCAGGGAGATGGGAGAGGCTCTAAGCGGAGAGGTTCACAGGCTTCTGATTTCGCCGTATGTGCAGCCAAGCTTTGGTTGTTGAAACGCGAGCTAACAGGAGCCATTCAGGACTTCGAAGGCATTCGTGAAGAAGAAGGCATCGCTGACCCTCCTCCGACTGTACCGAAAGAACCCTGATATCGTTCAGCCGCAATGGGCGGAGCGCATAATATCCTTGATGGACGACGTTGATATCGGTGTGGCGCTGTCCATCACATCACTCGTCATGACCCTCGCCCAGGACAACCTTAACCAATACAGGGGTGCATATGCCAAGGCCGCAGCTAGGTTGAAGAGGATAATCATCGATGGCGAGTATACTCCGGATTACCTCTACTACAAGGTCCCGTGTCCCTGGATCCAGGTCAAGCTTCTCCGCTTGCTGCAATACTTCCCTCCTTCGGGTGAGTCGACATTGGTGTCTAAGGTGGGGTGTGAAATGTACTGATGGTTACAGATGATACACATGTGCGGGACATGATCCGCGAGTCACTGCAGAAGATTCTAAATCTCGCCATGGAGCAGACCAAAAACGTGCAGCAGAACAACGCGCAAAACGCTGTTCTATTTGAGGCTATTAACCTAATCATTCATCTGGACAATGAGACTGCGCTGCTGAAGCAAATCTCATCTCGTCTCGGACGTTTCCTGACCTCAAGAGAAACCAACGTTCGGTACTTGGGATTAGAAGCGATGACCCATCTTGCAGCTCGCATCGACACTCTAGAGCCGATCAAGCAGCACCAAGACGTCATTATCGGGTCTCTCAAGGACAGAGATATCAGTGTGCGAAGGAAAGGTCTCGACCTCCTCTATAGCATGTGCGACTCCTCCAATGCTCAGGTTATTGTTGGTGAGCTTCTGCACTACCTCCAGAACGCCGACTTTGCCATCAGGGAGGAAATGGTGCTCAAGATTGCCATCTTGACGGAACGTTACGCCACTGATGTCCAGTGGTACGTCGACATTTCACTTCGTCTGATTGCCATGGCAGGTGATCACGTAAGTGATGAGGTGTGGCAGCGAGTCATTCAGATTGTGACGAACAACGAGGAACTGCAAGTTTACGCGGCCCAGCATTCCCTGCAGTATGTAAAGTCAGATCACTGTCACGAGACCCTGGTCAAAATCGGAGCATACATCTTGGGTGAGTTCGGCCATCTCATCGCCGACCAGCCCAAGTGCAGCCCCATTGAGCAGTTCTTGGCTCTCCAGAGCAAGGTGGCTGCCTGCTCGTCGAGCACTAGAGCGATGATCCTCTCATGCTACATCAAATTCGTCAACCTCTTCCCCGAAATCAAGCCTCAGCTTCTGAAGGCTTTCCAAGTCTTTAGCCATACGCTCGACTCTGAGCTCCAGCAGAGAGCATGTGAATACCTGACACTAGCAACTATGGCGACGGATGACCTTCTTCGAACTGTATGCGACGAGATGCCGCCTTTCCCGGAGAGGCAATCGGCGCTGCTAGCCAGAGTGCATCAGAAGCACGCCAACACCAGTGATAAGAGAACCTGGGTTGTGGGCGGCAAGGATGCCAACGCAGACGTGGCAGAGCTCAAGATGGCCAAGGACGGTGGTCTTAAGCGGACATTTAGCACGAACGGCAATCCTCCGGCTAAAGGTGCTAATGGCACGAACGGCCACGGCAATGGCGCCAACGACTTGGCTGGCTTGGATATGTTGAACATTGGCCCTGCCGAGCCCAAGACGAAGGCACCTAACCTGGCAAGTGCGGCTCACTTGTCTCCCAACTGGGAGGTTGGATACAACAAGCTGTTGCTCAAGGGCGAGGGTGTTTTGTACGAGGATGGTCAGATCCAGGTTGGTGTAAGATCCGAGTATAGAGGCCAGATGGCCTGTCTTATTCTTTACTTCAAGAACAAGACGCCTACGGCGTTGGGGTCCTTCACCACAACACTCGACCTTGACGAAAGCGAGAAGGGCAAGCTCACGTGGGACGTCAAGAACCTACCGGAAAGCACAGTCTACCAGTCCGGACAATCGCAGCAGGTTATCATGTTCGAGTGTAAGAGGGTTTTCGACAAGAGCCCGACAATGCGCATCAGCTACCTCGCCGGCGCCTTGCAGGCTGTCACGCTGAAGCTACCTGTCACCGCTCACAAGTTCATGGACCCTGCAGATCTTAGCGCCGAGGACTTCTTCAAGCGTTGGAAGCAGATCGGTGGAGCCCCGCGTGAGGCACAGCAGATCTTTGGTTTGTCTCCCGGAAAGGCTACCGACAGGGAGATTACAGAGTCCTTCGTCCGGCAGACGGTTGACGGCTTCCGGTGGCGCATTCTCGATGGCGTCGACCCGAATGCCAAGAACTTTGTCGGCGCCAGTGTGCTGCATACTTCTGAAGCGGGCAAGTTTGGATGCTTGATGCGTCTTGAGCCGAACTACGGAACTCAGGTTTGTTTAACCCTTCCCCATCTCACTATATTTTTTCTCGCGGCTAACAAATATGTAGATGATCCGTTTGACCATCCGAGCAACCGACGAGAGCGTTCCCGCTACTCTTATGAAGATCATGCATGAGCGCCTCTCAGCCGGCTACACGCCGGAAAAGTTCAAGGGTCCGACAGCCGAGGAGATAGCGGACGCGTTCAGCAGTGTCATGGTTTCATAGCGCATAAAAACCTCGATGTAATACACTTCCTAATGACATACCCCCTTTTTTTTCAGAAGTCTTTTTAACAAAAAATCTTCATATTGTCTTCTTGTATTGTTTTTTCGTTTTTTTGCATGGCAAAGCTACTGGGGTGGCGTCAGGTGGCATCTTGGTAGCAGTCGTTCCCTATAGTTTGTTTCGTGGTGTGGATGTCCGATGCACACTCGCAGTCTGGGAGGCATAATGGAAAAAGTACATCTTGGTATTCCTTTAGTTCTCTGCTAATGTAGATGCTACCTCTGTGCCTTATTCGTAGTGCTTATACGGCAGCTCGCTCATCCTTCCCGATCCGAAAGACGTTGCTCGTCTTCGAGATCCCGATTCAAGTCCCTAGCTACAACAGGTTGTCCAAGATGCAGGTGAAACGGCGGGGACCTTTTCTTTTTTCCCTCCCCCATGAATCTATTTACAACAGCAGTGTACGCCCAAGGGAGGTAGTATGATGCACCCAAAAATGCCCCAAGCGGAGGGGACAAGATGCTAGCAGCAACAACTGTGAGAGGCCGGACGAGGTTAACGGGTATGTTCATTCGAACCTCGGTCTTCCCAGACCCAGTCTGACTAGAACTGGCCCAGCTCCTGCTATCAGGTTCGGACTGAGGCTGCGTTGAGGCGTGCCGAGCTCTGTCAGCCACTGATTCCTTTGCTCGTTCCGCCTCCCACTTTTCAGAGTCGGATTTAAGCCTGTAAACAATGTTCTCCAAGGAAGAAAAGGTTAGCTTTCGAGACGATCTCACAAGAGTGTGAAGCCTACTGCTGTGACTTTGTGAGTACTGGTGATGCTGTACCCGTTGACATCTTGGCTAGTTTGAGGGTCCTGTGGCAACTTGTGTGAGAAGACATAGCAGATGGATAAACGGTCAGCGGAGACGCACAAAGTAGTAAGCCGGTCGTACTAGAGCATCCCCACCGAGGTATCGATGGATGTTGGCTTCGATGACTTGTCCATTTATGCCATCTTTGCAAATGAAGTATTCACTCGAGTGGCTTATAGGAGTCAGTAAACGCATCATAATTGGATAAAATCACTGCTTGTCAGTGAATTGTGTTCTACGGACCATTCTGTATTCTTGGTCTCTTCCAAGCTGTCTCTTGGCTTTGATACTTGGGTTTCCGGGCGGGCAACTGTATCGATATCCTCTACTGGATTGTATTTCGCGTCATATATATCGTTGTGAATAAGGCGCATGTGGTCCTTAAAGCTCTCTTCGGTTGAGAAAACGCTGCTGGGAATGCTGCGTTTACATTCGTCGTAAGAGCACAGTAGTTTGTTGTCGTCATCCAATGTCTCAGGAATAGCTGCGTCTCTTGTTTCCGGTGCCCCCTCACTTATCTCTATGTGTCTGTCGGCTCTCTCCGTACTACTTCTCTGGGAGCTCGTTAGTATATCTCTCATGTAATTGGAAGGTAACCATCGGGTCTCAAGATCTTACGGTGTCAGAAGGTCCTTCGTCTTCCCAGGGATTCGGAATGCGTTTGAAAACCCCACCGACGACAAGTTCGCTGCGATCTTTCTCTTTCAAAGACTTTTCGAATCTATAGAGACACTTCTCATATACCTCTTTTACTGCGCGTGGCGCATGGGGCATGATCTTGGGATCAAGTCCAATCTCGGTGGACACAAGAGTCCATTTCCGGCGTGTATTGACCCACCAATACCCTCCTTCTCTCTGTACAGCTTGAAACAAAGCAAATAAGTCAATAGGGTCATCATCAATTCTAGGATTAATGTCCACATGGTAATCTTGTGATATCGCCAACTCAATGAGAGTGCTAATAAATTGTGTTTTCGCACGCCGTTTGGATCGTTTTTCATCATAATCCATTTCACGGATGTCAGGCAGTTCGGGAGTAGGTTCTACGTATTCCGCCGATGCAGCGTAGTCAGTATCGTGGCTAGTGGCTACCTCGTTCTCCCTTTTTCCCGCATATGTTAGCTCCTTGTGAGACAAAACGAATAGAGCAAGCTCTTGTTGATGATTTCCAACATGGTGTTGATATTCCTCCAACGAAGTCAAGTCCTTTGGGCACAAGGGACATTTCGTCTGCACATCGGACGGTAATGGATGCGAGCTGAGCTCGACCAAATCTTCGGCGCTGCGTTCTGGAACCGTTACTTCATGTGTTTCCATCAGATGGGCCTTGGATTCTGTTTGGGAGTGGAAGTTACTTGCGCACCCATACGGGCAGCGGTATATTCTCAAGTGATTTTGTAGCATGTGTTGCATCCATTCTTTTTTTCTGGAAAATTCATGCTCTGGAGCCAAGCACTTTTCGGCCAGACAAGTATATGGCCGGAGATCACTTAACACATGTTTCCTGTAGATAGTGGTCAGCCTAGAAGTAGTGATCAGACTCTGAGCAGCTTACTTCCAAGTCTCTGAACTCGGTATAATTATGGAACAATAGCAGAAAGGGCATTGAAACGGTCCGTTTGCTCCTTCATCCGGCATAGACGGAATATCAAGTGTTTCTGAACTGGTGGGGGATACAGAGTTAGATGCCTGCGAGGCCTCTTCGTCCGATTGAGTATCATCATCCGAGGAACCGAAAGAAGGTTCTTGATTCACATGCAATGTTGTTGAAGAATCGATTGTGCTTGGCTCCACTTCTCTCCGTTTCGTGTCTCCATGGAGTCCGACGCCATGAGAACGCCCCAGGTGGCGAGCCTCTCTATATTTTAGATATTGGCGTCGTCGTGAGATTGCCCTTCCTAGGCGCTGCGCAAGGTATTCCTCGATGATTGGGAACTTGGCTTTAACATGCTGGATATCAACTTCCTCAAAGGCGGAAGTGTCTGTCAGGTCTGCGGCCATTAGTTGGTCATGGGGAGCCGGACTTTTTATAGGGACGCTCAAGCGCAAGAGGCAGTCCACTAGCTCCGTGATGTCCAGGGCAATTTGTGCAATCTCCGTCTCAGTTTCTAGATCATTTAGTGACTCTTCGTCAACTTCAAGCTGGTCCCACGGTGTCTTATCCCCGGTCAAAATGCTTGTCGCTTCATCAAGAGACCCTTTGAGGTCACCCAGAAGTGTGGAGACTAGTTGATGGATATGCGATGCATCTTGGAGTCGATGTTCGAGAGAGTTTCGACCCATACGGTGCGCGCCGTGATTTCGAGTCCAGATCTTGAATCGGGCTAGCTCGTCTTCCAATTTCAGTGGGAGTGATGACTGTAATGCCTCGTCTTCGGATCGCCGAGCGCTTTCCAACAGTTGGCCGAAGCCCCTAAGTATTCCTCTAACAATGTTGGAAATCCTTTCTTCCATATTCAACTCGATGGATAAATCGTTTTCAAGCGGCGTGAAGAAAGAGAACGAGAGACCTGGATGGTCATATGAGGATGAAACAGGGGTGTTCTGCTGCTTTCATGAATGAACGACTGGCAGCATCAAATAATTTGATAGCGGAATACAACAGCATCGGTATTTAACCTCCAATATGACCTCCCAATTACTTCCCCCAACAGTCGCAACTTTTGTTGGGCCGCATGCACCGCCTTGATAGGGTACAGCTGCAGGCGTAGAAGGCAAACCCCGCAACATGCAGATTGTCACGCGTCATTCTGGGTGCTTTTTTGCAAGACAATCATTGAGTCGATTTTGAAATTGTGATGAAGGGTTCATCGAGAAAACCGGCACACCTCACTTCCTCTAACTTGTCAGAGATCAAAGATGTCTGGATTCGAAGTGGCGGGAGTCATTTTGGGAAGCATCCCCCTCATCATTTCGGCTCTTGAACACTACAAGCACAGCATTTCAACAGTTCGAACTTTGCGGAACTATGATGGCGAGCTTCGCAGCCTGATCTGGAACCTCGAGACGGAGAGGGTCAGGTTCCAGGATGTCTGCGAAAAACTCCTTATTGGCTTGGTGCCTTCTTCTCAGATTGATTTTATGGTGAACAATCCATTTGATCCAGCATGGAATGAAGATCCGATCCAGGAAAAGTTTAAATCCCGACTATGGAGGTCCTTTTGTGTATTCGAGGAAATTTTTAAGGACATGGAGGAGGCCATCCAAAAGATGATGAAGAGACTTGACCTCCAACCGGATGGAACAGTAAGTAGCTAATTCAGGAGACAAGCTACATCATCTGACTCAACATTCAGATCAAATGGAAAAAGGCTTCATCTGTTTTGAGAGAGTTCAAGTGCGCTTCATTTGTTCTCAGAAGGTCCGCTCATGCGAGACAGCTAGCAACAATCAAGGACGGAGTTGGCATTTTGGAGTCTTTAATTGGACGAAACGTTCATATGGAACCAGAGAGACACTTGCGTTGTCAAGGGCGGTTTATGGGTTTGGTACGAGATATTTCGGGCAGCACATACCGCGCACTGCGATCCGGCTTTCAATGCAACTGCGAACATGAGATGCACCTTGGTTTGGTATCGAGATCAGTTAAGATGGGACAAAAGGATGATGACGAAGACATCATCCAAAAACTTTATTTTCAGCTGGCTCTGACTTATCGCGAAGAAGTGGAAGAGACAATGCAACCTCATGAGCGCGTTTCTCGGACAGAGGTCCTTATTCGAGCGCTTCCTTGCAGGACTGAACACAACCTACGCTCAACAGGAATGCCACCACAGAGACAGAAGTCAAATGGCGAGAAGAGAAAGAGGGTAAGTATATCACCTTTCCAATCCTCGGCAACCACCACAACTGGGACTGAGCGAACATCGGCTTCAACCATGGTAATTCAACAGCCCTTCTCAGAGCTGAGCACCAATTCGATTAGTCCAAAGTTTAACGGCCAAATAAACATTTGCGAAAGCATACGTCAGAGCCAAAACCACCTCGAGTTTGATTGTTATGGCATGATAACTGACAACACGCTACAAACGTCGCGAGAATTCGGAGTTTATTCAACAAGATCAAGTTCGAACCGAGACAATTGGTCAGTAGTATCACTGAGAGAAATCCTTGAGCTGCCACTTTCTTGCATGCCTGTCCCGGCAAAGTTGCACTTGGCAACTATGATTTCCTCAAGCTTCCTTCAACTTCATCAGACGCCTTGGCTTCCAAATATGTTCACAAGCCATGACATCTTCTTCTTAAAGAAAGGCCCAAAAATGCAATACGAGCACGCATTTGTCATGAGGAAATTTCCCGAGAGACTTCAGGAGAGCCAGGACAACAATGAATATGTCCCTAGCAATGGCAGTCCAGCCTTGCTTTCGCTAGGGATTCTGCTACTTGAACTCGGTCTAGGAAGGACAATAGATTCGCTCCGTGTTCAGTCCGAAGAAAATTCAGATGGAGTTCCAAATTTGATGGACGAATTGGTGGCGGCACAGAGTCTACTGCGACAGGACTCACTGCTCAGCTTGAACTATATTGATGTCGTGCAACTTTGTATTTGGGGTGACTTTGGCGGACCGAAACCGGACTTAAACGACGAAGACTTTCTACAAGAGGTGTACGTGAGAGTTGTTGCGTCATTGGAAACTGGACTTCGGAATGCGACATGGTCTCATAGGCGAGCCAACTAAGCAGGTGGTTATCATCCAAGTTGGAGAGCTTGGCCTGGAGTGTGCTTGATTGGTAATATCTGGGCATGAAACGCAGCATAACTTCTTCAAATTCAGTTTCCTGTTTAGTACAGTTATTGTTCTCAGAGTCATACAAGACGACATACTTCACAACCATGTACCTGGTTAATCTACATAACAGTTTATGTTGTCGAAAGAAAGACTTTCAAACGCAGATCCGGGTGCCCTGCCGAGGGCGGGGCTGAGTGGTCCGAGTTCAGGAGATCGGCATGATGCATCACGATGAGGTCCTGGCAAGTGTTGAGAAAACTAAACGATTTCAAAGTGACATGAAGCATATCGTCAACTGATAACAACTCCAACTGGGATGGAAAATCATTGTAGCTCTTGTTTCTTCCACAACAAAGCTCAACTTGGCTTTGCGCACAGCATAACAGACCTTAGGAACCGCAAAAAGCAAACCAAGTCTTCAAACTCGCAAAAGGTATGACCCCAACCCGATTTGAACGGATAACCTTTCGATCTGGAGTCGAACGCGCTACCGTTGCGCCATAGGGCCTCTCGTGAGATGTTGAAGGCTTGGTCGAAAATACCGCAGAAGAGCTCCGCAAGTCGACTTTCGCGCCTAGTCTGATATCGAGTGCGGGGTTGGGCCCACAAGGACTGCAGTTAAAGCCCCTGTTCAGGTCCAACCTTAACCAGCACGTGGGCGCAACTCGACATCAACAGCGACGACAATCAGTCTGTAACGGAGCTCTGTCAACCTGCAGAAACACTAGTTGCCGGTGGATCTCGATAATCAACTCGATGGCCGACGTATCCGCGTATACGAACACGTCCAAGTGTAAAAATTCCCAGCCATTCATCCGAGCCCCGAGAAAGGTTTCCTGTGAGGTCTTGACTCGGGTCGGCCCCATCCGTTCTTCAGTTCGTGTTCTTCACTCTCCACAGATCTCCAGCAAAAGCAACGAATAACGTCTGGTGATCGACGCACAACTCGGGTGTAACGCCAGCGCTTAAATCGGCCTCAATCACATGGCGACTTCTTTGGCTATTAGGGGGAGGGGAGTTGGGTTACTTGCATCGGAGGTATGTTACCGTCTTCGGCAGGCGACAAGTGATCTTCACTCAAATGCCTTGGAGGGCAGGTTTGGAGATGGCCCCCCTGGTCACTCTGTGCCAGCAACATCCATCCCAGCCATGTTTGCTGTGGGCGGGTGTTTAAACATACTTTGTTTTTATTAGGTTGTCCGTATGCCCACAAAAGCCCGACTTGGCATTTGTTTTCACCGATCGAAAGTCGAACGATGACAGGAAAAATATCTTAACAAATTATTATTCATCAAATTGGGTTTCCGGACCATTCCGCCCGGGTGTAACGGGTTCTCAGCGGTTGCTCTGGCGCTCAATGTTTGCAATGATGTTCCTGGATGAAAATCGGGTATCGTGCAGTGCGCTCTGCAGATCTTCACACTCTCTGCAATGATACTAACACAATGCGTTCTGTGGAACTGCAAGTCGAATCGGAAAAAGGTATATGTATTAAGGAGCCATCATCAGAGGATATAACAAAATCCTCGCTCCATACTAAGTGTAATATATGTGCGTGAAGTCATCGCTGAAGCCAGCCAAGCGGCCAGGCTTCACGATTAAAGGTAATATCATCATCTTCATCCCGTAGCTCATCAACCCCGTTAGGGCCACAATTATGCCCTCAGCCCACCAAGAAACCCCTTTTTTTTATGGCGAATCAGAAAAATTAACCCCATTTACAACGCGGCCTTGCCAAGGTTGTTGTTGAAGTTGCCGTCCTTCATGGGAACGTTGGCGCTTCCAAAGTCGGTGTTCTCGAGGGCGGTGCGGGCAGCAGGGGTGAGCGACTCCCAGGCAATCAGAGGCTGCTGGCCGCCCTGCTCGCTGGTGAAGATCATCTGGTGGTTGACGGGGAAGATGCTGCGGTATCCGACGCGGGGGTGGGTGCCCGTGAAGCTGATGCCGGAGGTCTTCTTGTCGTAGTTGCCGTGGGCGGAGACGGAGACGCCCAGAACGGTGGCGGACTCGGAGGCAGCAGACAACCAGACGACGGTGTTCTCCCAGTCGTGGCGGTGGCCGAGACCCGTGGAAGGGGAATCCTTGGGCATGTAGTACGAGTACATGATGGCGTAGGCACCGTTGTAGGAAGCACCGCGGGCGTAGACCTGGCCGGTGCTGGAGGAGCAACCTCCGTTGGAAGAGCCGGTAGGGTTGAGGCCGCCACTAAGAAGCGCTGTTAGTTTATGCGTTGCAAACATCTCCGAAAGCACGGGGGAAAACGTACCCAGTGTTACCAGCCTTGTCGACGGCAGGGAAGGGAACGCAGCCGTTCACAACCTTGAGGTAGGGCTTGTACTTCAAATAGAGGCTGCCGGCCGTACCCGAAGGGACTGTCTCAGGGAAGCCAACAATGGCATCGTGGGCGAGGACAGCACGGGGCTCAATAGGGGCCGCAGAGACGGTGCTGGCGGCGGCAGCAAGCCATGAGGCAAGACGGAAGAGGGAGGGGGCCATTGCGACTGAAATAAAATCTAGAGAGACGAACTGGGAGATCGTCTTTGGGGAATATATCTAAATATCTGATGTTTGAAACTGTCGCAGCGGCAGATGGCAAATAATGTCGTGAGAGTGATGACTTGGCGAGGCGAAAAAGATCTGTTCCTTACATCTGGTCAAGCAGCGCCGCCCTGTCATCTTATAGTCGGATTTTGTTTCTCCTCCCGTCGTCCTCTCAGCATCTGCGGCACATACACAAGACGACGAGAAAGGCAACTGGGGGGGCCCCTCAACACGCCAGCCAATATTTCCACAGACGCAATCATTTCCGAGCTATCTGCTTTCAGCACTCACCATCAGTCACTTGAGGCCTTTCGACCCCGCCCGTGGCACGGCACTGCTACGCAATTGGGCCAGGGGAGGGATGTAAGTGCCGCTTGCCGGTTTGCTCAAAACCCCCCCGCTGTTGAAAGGGGACCTGTAGAGACGCTTAGACCACATCATGGGAATTTCTACCATGTAGAGCAAAGAGCTTGCGTACATGGCCGGGCTCTACTACTACGCAGTAGCACAGTTCTTTGGGGGCCACGAGGGCATAGGGGTGGTCGGGGTTTGGACGGCTTACGCAGGGGTACCGTTCGATGCATGAGGTGCCGAGCTCATCCCTGTCTGTCGTGCCTAGATCTGGCATCTCGTCCGCCACCAGTAGGCGCGCCATGTAACCTCGATATCCCACCTTTTCTTTATTCCCACTCGAGCTCAGTCAGTAGGGGACTCATGGTCTGTGCCTCTGGCCTCCTTTGCCTGCCTCGTCGGGCGGTCTAGCGGATCTTCACCGATGAATATCGAGTAAGGTAAAGATTTGGGTTGTGGAGATGACAAGGTTGGGGGCCCTTTCGTGTTTACACCTCAATTGCGCCTTATCAGGTCGGATACTAAGAGAGACCAGGTTGGCATGTTTATCTTGCATGTCATAGACGACGGCAAGGCATGAAGAATCGATGAACCAAATCGCCTCACAGCTGGCTTCAGTTGTGCGTTCGCAAGCCTAACTGGCAGTGCGGACTTGAAGGAGACCACCAGGTTGGCAGCCTCCTGATTATTATCGCGGTAACCGCTGAGTGATGGACTGTTTTACAACATTTTCGTGCGACCGTTGTGGACTGTGTCGGAGCGAATGTTCCCATGACACACGATAGACATTTAGATGGGTCGTCGTATAAAGCTGGTGGGACCCAGCAATACCTTATTGAAGCTTTTTTTTAAAGGTTGTGAACAACCTTCCCCTTCCAGTTCCACAAGGTAAGAAAAAGGTACGAATTGCTGGAGCTATCATCGGTGCGAAAGGCCATAGTTGCGCCGCTTTGTCGGTCATGAGTTGCCGAGATGGCCCAGGCGGCTGACCATGGTACTGGTTGTTCCAATATTTCAATCTGCTCGAGTCAGGAGTCGGCTCCATCCGGTTCCGCGGCCCCAGATGAGCTCGTTCATTGGGTCATCCGCCAAGCAACGGTCAATCAAGCCTTGCCAGAGTGCAAGCTGGGATAAGACGAAATTGCGAATGTGGATGCCTGTCAAGGTTATCGTCGTTGAGGAGGAAATGACAAGCAGAAAACTGCTTGTCGAGGCTCGTATCAGCACAAAGCAGTGCCCGAATGACCACATTAAGAGACTACTTTAAAGAAGCTCATCCCTGTGATAAGTGGTTCCTGAGAGAAAAAAGAGAGAAAAAAAAAAAATAATCAGATACCAAAAAGGCCTTAGCATGGACGAGACGAGGACAGGTAACGTGTCATGACAGACCACGCTTTTTATTACATATCTATAGGTGTTGAGAGGAATTGAGATGGGTATCACAAGCTTTCCGAACATCGTAGCGCGACGCGTGCCATATTACCGCCCTTCCAAAATCAATCAAGGTGAAGGACAATCAAGGGGAAACCCCTCCCTGGGTTTCCAGGTAAACCGCCAGCAAATCAGAAAAATCAAACTGCGCACCGCTTTAGCTAAAGTCCCACGACTCTCCCCATAACTCGTTCAAGTTCAACCCCAAAGCTTCAAGACTAAAGTCGGGGTTGAACTGTTGTGCCTTTGCCGCCAACAAACTGTCAGCAACGAGTGCTGGGGAGAAGTCTCCGTGAAGACTCACCTGCGGATCAATGGATGTTGTCATCCATGGCAGCGGTTGAGGCAGCAGTCCGTCGACGGTGTTCTGAGATGCCGGGTAGCCCTGGAAGGCAAAGGGCGTCACGGACTTGGGAAGCTCAGTCAGCAAATGTTTGTAGCTTGAGAAGAAGTGGTCAGGAGTGGCGCTCACTTTTGGTCTTTCCGGAACCTCCAAACCGGGGATCTTGGAAAGTTCCGATTGCTGGCTCGACACCGGCGGCTCCTGGTTCGCCAGCAGCTTGTAGTGCAGGTTGACGAACCGTTCCGCAGACGAGGCCTTGGCTTGCTCTGTCGTCTTGGTCCCCAGGTGTGCCTCGAGCAGACCCAGAGCTGAGCACATGATGGAGTAGCCCCATGGCTCATTGTTGCCGCAACGCAAGAGTCGGTCCTCCTTCATAGAGAGGCACTTCTCGAGTAGCTTGACGGTGTGTTGGGAGTTGATCATGATCATGTTGGTAGAGCCGCGCGGCTGCAGCATGGTGACACTGCAAAGGTTGACGGCCGTGGTGAGGGTGTCTTCGCGTAGGAAGTTGAGGCAGCGAATGCCTTGCTCGTAGAGCTTGTCGTGCAAGAGAACAATGTCTCGTGCCGCATTGTAGTAAATAATTTCAGAGTACTGGTACTTGGCGTTGGACTTGCGGAGCTTGAGGAAGGGCTGGTGAAGGGGGATAATGTACTGGCGGAGCTGAATGTGAAGCAGGGTGTAGGCAAGGAGTGGGCGCTTGCCTCCGTGCGTGTTGTTGTTGTTGTGCTCCCAGGAGGGCAGGGAGTCGATTTCGTGAGTGATGTCATTCGTATATCTGATGACTTGGTCGTAGTCGATTTCCCCGGGTGGTCCGCAGAGAAGTCTGCTCAGCTCCATGCGCAGAGGCAGACTCTGGCGTGCGAGATTCTGGTACGAGGAGTACGTGTACTCCTTTCCATGCTTTGACGGAGGCAGCTGAGTCGTGTCCTCGTCAAAATCTTCGTCATCCAGATTCCTCGGTGGCTGCACGTCGTAGTGCAGCTGGCTCACCAGCGTGGGCAGACCATGGTCGAAAGAAGCTTGCATGTCGAATTCTTGCACCGTCGCCCAGATTCTCCGTCTCATCTCTTGGTTATATACTGAGATCTTGCCAGACATGTGACTTGGCTCACGGTGTAGTCCAACTGAGATTCCATCCTGAATGAGAGCTCCCGAATTCGTCCAGAAACGCTTCTTCTTAACGGTGTTTACCCGCTTGCTGAGATACAGCAGGCAGGCGATTTGGTAGTGAATGAGCTTACGATGCTTCATGCTTTGGTTGTTTTGCCATTCCTCGACGGCCTTGATCCACCTTTCAGCCGTCGTTTGCGCATTCGAGATCATGCCGGTAAATCTCAGAGAGTCGTGAGTATGAATGCAGTTTGCAACCGCGATGATGGCCAAAACAAGGGCAGTGAACGCGGCATAGCGGGATTCGGACGGGTTCTCCCAAAACTGTGAGTACTCCCTTCGGAATGTCGGAATGTGAATGATGCGGTGCATTTGCTCGAACTGGTCGATATAGACCTCGACCAAGGCGTCCACTTGCTCCTTGGGTGGCAGAAGAGCCTCGAGCTGAGGATCAGGCTGGGCGAAGAACTTGTCTCGGTCCTCCTTGCGCTTCTTGCGATCCTTACGATCATGTGCCTTTACTGGCTTCAGCCACTCATCAGCCGTCTCCTTCATGAAGGGACACAGGCCAGTCAACTGAGATGAAGTCAGAAAAACGTTCCTCAAAAAACGCAAAAAAGCTCTCATGTGAGCTCAATAGACCTACCTCAATGAACGCCATGGTGGCATTGTGAGGGCCAAAATACCTCGTCCTAAACTCCTTGCCTCTGAAGAAACGCAGCTCTGAGGACTTGTCTCCTCCGTCGGTGTACTGATGCCAACATGACTGCAATTGCGAGTTATTCGCGCATGGGTCGGCGGGGGTGTCAGTAGTTTCATCCTTTTGAGTGTGTGGTGAGTTGGTGCCAGCCACGGTGCTCCCATCAAATGAGGACATGGCCTGTCGCGTGAGTTGAGTCTTGAGCTGAGCGACTTCCAGCTCTAGGCGGCGGATGCGGTCGTGGTCCTTGGCCGCCTCCCGCATAACGGTAATCTCGGATTCCTTGCTGGACATGGCCAACTCGCCATTCCTCCGTGAGTCCAGCTGAGCAAAGGCAGGCGGGACGCCGGAACTGGCGTTCAAAACGACGCCAGACTTGGTCTCGTATGTGCAGCGGTCAGGCGTACCGCTCTTCAGGCAACGCTGGCACGGATAGCCGCGGTCGCAGGACAGCTTCCTCCGGCGGCACTCCAAGCAGCTCAAGCGCACGCGTTGGCGCTTGCGAGGGTGCTGAGAGTTTTCATCATCATCTCCTCGCGAATTGGTGGGAGACAAACTCCCGGTCTCGTCTACTGAGGGAGACATTTCTTTTTGGGTGATTCCTGGTGGTGGTGACGCGGCTCAATGTTGCAGCTGCGGCGCGAAAGGTGAGAATGCTCAAAAACGAGAGAAAAGTGTGCCGCGCGCAACGCTCGTCCCCAGCATGGTTATAACGAAAGTACGAAGTGACAAACTCGACCAGGCTCCGGTTCGGAGCGCTCTTTTTCACCTGCCGTTTGCTGTTTAGATGTGCTTGAAAATCCACGAGAAGAAACTTGCCCCTGTCATCCCAGCCAAAGTTACAGCCGAGGCTCTGGCGTGACTCCCTTAACAAGTTCCCATACATTTTCATTAGAAACTCTGTTAGTTAGAGGCCAGCTTGCTTACCTAATATCCATATTTCCGAGCGCCGAGACTGTATAACCGAGCAATCCCGAGTCAGAACTTCCCCTTTAAGTGGGGCATCTGATAAGATTAGATCGGCCCTTCCCCCCAATTGTTCTCCATTCTTTGACTCACACACGACAGGGATCTTGATCAGATAATTTGCTCTTTTCCCACAAGCCGGGGGGATAGACCGACGCAGACGCGCGGGTTCCCACCACCGTTACATAAACTGAGATGCTTTTGTCTACGATCATCCTCGTCAATTTTCACCCGCACACACGCACACACGAGATGGGGGGAATGCGAACAGGAGAGGACGTCATCCAGCCTGCCAGAAGACGCCGCTATTCAGGTAGCTCGCAGGTTTGTTGTATCATGTCTCAATGATGAACGGCGAATCCTTCTGTCACTAGTCAACAACTCGGCAGCCAATGCGGCAAAGGCTGTCATTGGAGCCATACTACGGGTTGCTCAGTATTGGAAAAAAAAAAAAAAGATCTTTTCTTACAAAGCCAGTCTGTCTTTTCAGGGATGTGGCGGACCACAACCACAAGCTAGACATGCCAAGGGCTGTGTCTGTGGCACACCGACCATCACTAGTTCTGCCGACCATCCCGGACACACGATGCAGCTGTCTCCATCAATGGATCTTGTTTGTCATCCAAACCTACGGTGAACCCTTGGCAGCACCATTGGTATTGGGTAGAAAATGTCACCAGCTTCGAAGCGAGGCCGCATTCTCTCGTAAACGAAGCCGCTACATGATTGATCAAATGCAACATCAGTCACAGTTCATGCACACGGCCGGCTGGGGGGATGGGAGAGAAAGAAGAAAAAAAAGAATGGCATTACGGGATATGCTGGCCTCGGAACAGTCAATGACGACTGACAAGACTCCCTCCAACAGTGATGGACCGCATATTCTCGGCGACAACATTTTCCAAATTGCCCCAACGAGTCGAGTCTCAAGTCCAAAATCAGGAATAAGAAACTATGCACCCAGAGTGCTCAAAATACGGACGGGTGGGGCCAAATTCTTCAGCTGTGTCAACATCGAGGCCATTCAGGTTCCTTTGGAGATGGAACCCTTCCCAGTCAGTCCCAACAGACACGAACATAATCTCCACAACTTCCCAAAAAAGTCTCTTGGATGATCATTCACGCAGCGGCTACGCAAACCACCACGACGCAAGTTTTTCTCCCACCCACATTAAAGTTATCAGATCAAAATATCCCTGCCGAAGCGGACCCGCACTCCGAGATCGGTGCAGGGTCCGGTGCAGCCCACAAAGAGGCTTTGAAGGCTAGAGACGTTTCAAGGGGATTTACATCAAACGCTGCACGGGATGCTTGCTGGACTGCGCGACACACGGCCTCTTTGGTCCCGTCAAAAGGTACCATTGTGAGACAGGAGCCGGAGCAGAAACGAATTCGTGGCGACACTATGTTTTGCTTCGTTTCTGGCCACGAGAACCGTGGTTTCTCACCTCGTCAAAACCTGAGGACTGGAACCAATATCCTGAATCTTTGCAATTGACAACTGAAATGCAATAACGGACGCGAAGAGCCACGATGCGATCACCTATTGGTTTCCTGACTGGGTTCTTGGCTCTCGTTGCAGCCACTCACATCCCCGGCAGGAGCTTCGATCGGCTCATTTCCATCTGGCTGGAAAACCAGGTTTGCAGCCCACATTTCCCTGCCGGCAGAGCTCCTTGCTGATATTAGTCGTCCACAGGACTTTGCCCAAGTCGTCGAGGATTCCCACATTGCCGACCTTAAAAAGGAAGGGATTTTGTTGTCCAATTACCACGCCCAAACCCACCCAAGCCAGCCGAACTACATTGCAGCTCTCGCCGGCGACTATTTCGGCCTAAACCATGACGAACGTGTACGGCTGCCAATCAACGTGTCTACCATCGTGGACCTGCTAGACTGGAGGGGCCTGTCATGGAAGGCCTACATGGAAGATATACCTGGCCCAGGTTTTCTGGCCGATGCCAGTGATGGCCAAACAGGCGGCGGCAAGTGGGACTATGTTCGGAAGCACAAGTTCGTTGGCCCATCGATCTTTTTGGCTGTGTGGGATACTAATGCGTGTGCAGTCCCTTTGTATCCTTTGACTCCATTAATCTCAACGGAACCAGATTGCTCAACATCCAGTCCTTCGATGAATGGAAGACCGACTTCGAAGCCAAGACAGTACCACAGTACGTCTTCATGTCACCCAACATGATGAACGACGGCCATAATACGTCCTTGGAGTATGCCACAAAGTGGGCCCACGACTTTCTTAAACCCATGCTAGCCAAAGACGCGTTCAAAGAGAGAACACTCATTCTCCTGACCTACGACGAGGCCAAGGATTATGGGAAGCCAAACAAGATCGCATCACTGTTGCTGGGAAGCGCGCTTCCTACGGACATGAAAGGAACAGAAGATAAGACCTTTTACACGCACTATTCTATGATGTCGACAGTCGAGTTTAACTGGGAGCTGCCGAACCTTGGGCGCTACGATGTGGGCGCCAACATTTACCAGTTCGTCCAGAACCTTGGCTCCAAGGTTTTAGTAGCCAACAAAGACCCACCAAATATGGCTGATGTGAACAACTCTGAATCCTACTTTGGGGCGTTAAACAATGACACCAGCAAGTTTCGTCCATACCCGCCTCCCAACCTCGGTCTTAATGGGTCCAGCGGACTTCCTATATTGGAGCGTATCCGCCTACAATGGGTCTTCCACCAGCAGCCGACACCATACGATGGTACGGGCACTCTTTACGATGCCAAATTCCAGCCTCAATACATCCCGCAGGTTCCCGCTGAACACGGAGCTTGAGCCATCAATCAACCTAGGACCAGTCACAGGGAGCCATTGTTACCCATGGTCTGTCAGGTCACGTCGACAATGTCCGGCCACATCTGCCTGACCAGACTTTTCTGGTTCTGGGCTGGTTGAATCGTCACATGGCTACCTAAATACAATGCGGGGGAGTTCCGTGCTTTTATCGACACGGTCTTCTTGAGAGGCCAACACGGGTGAAGCCGTTTTAGTGGCATTCAGACAACCCAAGGACCACCTGACAAAGCTTTGATAACAATGACCATGATCACCTCATATATGAACACGTCGAAACGGGCAATTCCGAGTACGACTGACTCTGCTGGAGTTGCAACTTCCCGTGCCCAGGACTAAACATCCTGTTTTCAGTAAAAAGCCTAGGCCAGAAGAGCAGCTTAAGCTTCTGACGCGGAATTTAGAAGATTAAGCCGTTGGGCAAAGGCAAGGTGAGGGAACTTCAGGCATACACTAGTCCACAAACAAGGGTCGCGTGGGCAGGATGGCGGCAACGGACCGTTGCTTAAAACATGCCGTTCTACATGGGAAAATGAAGGCGTCTCGGTTTGCGCCTCTCGTCGAAAGTATGCAACACATGTATCTGCAACCGCACTGTAATACACAGTCTACAACCTTCATGATACGAGGCTCAGGTTGTCTCAAGTTGGAGAGTGCAGAGGATGTGACTCCAAAACCCCCCATTTGTCCTTCACGGGTGTATCCCGTCCGGCAAACAAGAGGGGGCTGTTTGAGGATTTATAGGACAGTAAAAACAATGGTCCATATGGATCGTCGTACAAAACAAGCAAGCCCACAAAGTGAATACAATACCTCAGTACCTCCCAACCGTCACCCTCGTCTCGGGGCCAAAGGACAAGACACAATCTTCCCTCAAGATGTGGAAAAGGGATTCAGGCGCGGCAGATGAGATTTACAGCCCTTACCGGACTCTTTCAAAGAAAATGCCTAATTACTCCAGGCAGGTCAGCCTTGGGCTTTCGCCTTGTTCTGTGCATGCTATCCCAATGCCATCTTTCAGACAGCTGGACTGTCATATCACAGACTTCTCTTCGGTCTTGCACGTTTCGAGGTGTTCAAGACTTCATTCATCCTGCCGTGGCAGCGTAATGTGGATTCTAGTAACACTATTATAAACGGTGAGCCATACAAGATCATGTTTAGACTGGGACCATCGATCAACCGGTCCAGCGACCAGAACCTACATGACTCGAATGCATACTAACTGCCGTCTGGCCCGTCCCAGTCTAGTAGCGACTGCTCGGAAGCGCGTTAAATCCGCTAGTCGCAACTCTCAACATACTGCAGGCGAGCATTTATTGACTGGAGGATACCGAGGTTTGCTCGCAGATGGCCAACTGAAATGAAGATTGGTTTCCTCATTAAGCCATACGCTAGAGAGGTCCTCATTCGTCAGACAGAGATGCGACCGCGATGGTTCTAACTCCCGCGCCGTCTCCCGCGCTTTAGGCGTTAGCTCCAGAACGATGGCTCGGGGGCCCTTTAGCAAATGACGCCAGGCTGACGCCAGTCAATATTGTCTCCGCCTGTCCTGAAGCGGTCAAAGTAATTATTAGAAAGACAGACCAAGCGCTAAAAAAAGAACCCCTGACAGTTGTTTACTTGTATTTCGAAAGCTTCTTCTTCTTCGCAGGTGGCCGCCCCCCCAATCACTTCAACAGATGCCAGCCACCCCCACATTGCTCTCATTGACATCACCCAACGACTCTAAAGATGGCAATCCAAACCACAATCGCGCAAAACGAAAAGCGATGTACTTTGACGCTCCCGTGGTTTTTGGAAGACAGAGAAGAAGAAAGGGTGGTTGCATTGTTCCCGGGCGGATATTCGGGTATCCGCCTGCATGAAACCGGACGGGATTGCAACCCTTCATTGTGAACGACTGCTGGAAGAACTGGGAAACGCTTCTGCACCGCGATTTCTACAAAATAATTGCTTTAGCTCAGTGAGAAAGCCAGGCAATGTGACCACCATCTCGTATTCTACTTAGGTGATTGTCGTCCTCCCAGGCCCGCATTACGGCCAGCACCTGACATGCCAAGCTTTGATCTACCGCTTGGACGTTCGTTGAGGCGTGTCTGAAGTTCGATCGGACAAGTTTGGACGCCCCCCCGTTGGATCTACTGCCAGAAGAGCATGTTCACTTGAGTTTGACTTTCGAATGGAAATTGGTTGGTCAATAAAATCGGACCTCAATTTAAACTAGCCAGCCATATTCGAGTTCACACAAGAACCTTTACCAGAGCCTCCGTAGATCGACGATGCATGCCAATGACATACTTCATTGGCACACCTCCCGCACGGGCCTACTCATAATCCTAATTTAGCTGCTATTGTTGCCTCTTAGCGGCGGATGCAGCAAGACACACAAAGAAAGACAGGAGTTTCCCATACGTTGGGGGATCGATGGTAATCTGGCTTACAATCGCATGCCCTTCCTTCCTAATCAGACGAATAATGGCTAGTCTCTCTGCCACCTAATTCAATTTCAATCTACCTCTGGAACGGCGTGAAACGCCAGTAAACCGTTGGAAAGACAAACATGATTCAGTTCACAGCCCTAGGTAGTAGGATTCTGCTCGTCTTGGCAGAAAGGGAGAAGAACACCAGACGACACGCCAGCCCGACCCTTCCCATAGTGCGACTCTCTTATGAATCCTCAGGCTTTGTGGGTTTATTGGCTTCGTTCATGTTCATGGTCGGCCGAAAGTCGACAATTTATTGGGTGGAGCGAGTTGCCCTACCTACAACCCGGCCGAGCTTTTGGTGACACGAGAAACATGCACGAAACCGATCGTGGCCATTGCACGACTCAGCTAGGGAAAATGGGACACCAGAGATCCACTGCCACGAGTTTTCTTCGATTGAATGTTCCATTGACCCCAGGGGGACATGTTCTGCAGCTACTCAACATCAGCTTGTTCCAATCGACGCCTCCTTTTCCTGTGGCTTCTAGCCCGGATAGGACCCCTAACCCACCCTAGCCGCACGACCATGGTTAAACTCTTTTCTCACACTCTCGGCGTGTGTTCAGTCTAATTGGTCGAGATACCTGTTTCGCACACATGATACCGTGTGTGAAGTGTAGTACAGGACGCGGCTACCGCACACTGCCTCTTGAGCCATGTGGAGAGAGGATACCAGAATGGCACTATATGCGGAGTACGGAGTACTCCTGCTAGACACCACGAATCACCCTAAAGCTTGGTGTCAAGTCGTACCTCTTTTTTAGTCTCCCGTGCGGTGGTTCGTTCCGCTCCCCCTGACTGGAGTGACTGTAAGTTGCAAGCACCTGGCTTGGACGGTGTTCTGCGGCTTATAACGCCCACGCTTTCCCACGCCCCTGCTTCCATCAAGGATGGCACTAGCAGGCAAGATTCGGTGGCCTGTAAACCCCTTGAATAGGAGACTCATTCTTTCATCACCACGAGATATTTCCCTCTGTTCTGTCCTTGTCATACTGACTTGGTTTTCCATCTGCCATTGCCAGACGTCATCGCTGGCATACCGCAGTAGTGGAGAGCCATGAGGCATTCGATGTTGCTCAGCCTGGCGGCCGCAGCTGTCTTTTTCGGCTTCTCGCAGGGCGCTTTGCTTGAATATGCGACCAAACTACCTCCGTGCGGCGTAAGTGGTTCAAATTCGTTGCAGTTTTGCCTTCGAGGCCTCACGGTTGACTTTGATCTTTAGTTGCAATGCACTATCGAAGAGATACCAAAGTCGACGTGCAAGACCGTGTCAAACGATACTTGCATATGTTCAGACGAGGGTTTGAGGGCGCAGGTGCAAACTTGTCTTCTTGCGAAATGCAACAGGTTAGAGGCAATTGGTAAGTTTACCTTGCGCAGAATATACCAAAGAATGAGGTCAACTAACATGTGCTCAGATGTCGCGAGGATAGAAGCAGAAGCATGCAAGAGGCCGATACGCAAGCGAAAGGTCGACATTCTGGCGCCTCTTGCCATTCAGATCACCGGATTGTTGGTTGTCCCGTTGCGGTTATATGCGCGATGGACGACGATGCACCACTTCGCTCCGGATGATTGGATCATGATAGTCTGTGGGGTGCGTCTGTCCGTGGCAGCTCCAGAGGTTGTTGTTCGGCTAACCGATAATAGATTATGTTCGCTCCTTTCATAGTGCTTGGGCAACTTGGTAAGCCTCTTGTTCCTCCAGCTTTATACCCGCTGACACCTAGTAGCCGGCTCCGTCGCGTTCGGCGAAGACATCTGGATGGTGCAGCCATATGAGCTTACCACCGGATTAAAGGTTTGCAGATTAATCCAATATTACCATGGGCAAAAACTAACAAAAAACAGCTCTTCTTTGTTGACGAAAGCTTCTACCTCACATGTCTAGGTCTAACCAAGATATCTGCGCTCTTCTTCTATCTCCGAATCTTCCCGAACAAGAGATTTCGATGGGCTACTTTCGCAGTAATGGCCTACGTCATCGTGTCGACGACAATCCTTCTCTTCATGCAAATATTCCAATGCATACCTTTCGACTTCAACTGGGAGGGCTGGAAAGGAGATTACGGCCCGCACCACTGCCTCGACATCAACACCCTTGCCTTCGTCGCCGGCGGTCTGAGCATCAGCCACGATATTCTCATTCTCGTGCTGCCGCTTCCACTGCTATATCAGCTTAACATGTCGATACGGAAAAAGGCCGGCATCATTTTCATGTTCAGCCTCGGCGTCTTCATCTTGATCACCTCGTGCGTGCGACTACGGTACATCGTCCTGTTCACGCGCTCGCTCAACCCGACATGGGACTTTACCGATCCTCTGATCTGGTCCGGAGTTGAAGTGTCAGTGTCAATGATTGTTGTATGTCTTCCGGCGATCAGGACCCTCATCAACCGCGTCATCCCGAACTTCATCGGCTCGACGGCCGCCACGGAGATCAAGCCAGCGCCAAAGGCATCGGCTGGCTCAGGATACCACAGGAAGGCGATCAACGCCTATCAGAGGAGATTGGAAGAGGAGGAGGAGAGGATAGCGGTTGCTAAGGCTGCACGACTGGTGGACAAGCGGCGCAAGTTCTTCTCGTTCATGTCGAAGGGCACAGAGCCGAACGAAAGCGAGCTGGAGCTCGGGGACAAGTCTCGCGGGGAGGTGAGGACACACATAAGGTACGGAGACATGGAAGGGGAAGGGGCATTCGGGACGAGGAGGAGCTCGATAGAGAGCGGGATCCATGTGCAGACCACAACGACGTTTCATGGTGCGTTGGGCGACGGCGGCGAGAGAGACAAGGCGACGTTTTGAGATGTCAGGGGTAATCGGACTTTCAAATTCTAAAAGCACGCAGCGCGAGAGAGCATGGCATTGGGGGTGCAATGGTCGGAGGCATACGCGAGGCGCGTCTTCATACCAAGCGCAGGTTCACAGCACTCAGTCATTTTCGCGGGGGCGGATAGGTGTAACTCTGTTGGACACAGGGTTCAGTGATACCATTTGCATGGGCGGGCGTTGGGTTGCAGGCAGGCTCTACATACCGCCAAGAGCCCGTTTTGAAAACAGTTTATGATGATTGATATATATTTTTCTTCCCCTCATAACAACAACATTCTCCAATCAGATACCGAAGACTGCGCTGGCCGGAAAACCTGCTTCTCAAATAGATAGTGACACTACTCAAGCCGCACCAATAAGGTCACTCCAGGTAAAAGATTGCCTACGGCGGACACATCCGTTAAACAAGCAAGGGATTTGCGATCACCAAGACTGACATCGGACTCTACAAGCGCGAAATACAGTGTCCCCCTCCGTCCGTGAGTCGAGCTTAACCTAAGATAACCCCCAACATTCATCCCCTACGGAGAAAGGTTCGCTCTTTCAGCTCGCAAGTGGTCTGATTTCTCATGCAGGCTGTCCAGAGAACTGCCGCTCATTCTTTCGAGGCGTTGGTGAGGCGCGGGGTCAACCGTGCTTCTTGGATTGAATGCGGAGAAGGATGCGGGACGCAAGGTTTGATGGAAGTTTATCTGGTTCTCGCTTGGGATGAAGTTAAACTCTACATAGCGTGGTACGCGTTGGTGGTTTTCTACTAATAGTGTTAGCAAGATATAATAAACTTATTCACTCTGAAAGCTTGTGGGATGTGGGGTTGCGGGAAGTGGGATGTTTGATACCGTAGGGAATGATTAATCTAGATAACCTTGCATATATCGTCAAATGAAGAGCCTTTTGGGTAAGTTTTGCCGGGCAAGGTTTGTAAAACGGCCGCTGAGTGTATTCGATATCGCCGTTTATGTAGCTCACACCCTTTGACTAGCTTTGAGCTGAAGGTGGACAGGACCTTAATACGTACAGTTCTAAGAAAAGTCGAGGGCGGCTGAACTTATGCCGGCGATTTTGAGAAAGCATACATGGTTGCTGTGATTAGCTCTGCATTCGTGAAGGCAAAAGTAACTCAAATCTGGCCCCGAGCTCTTTTGAACCTCCACTGATGGGCACAGCACAGCTCATACAGGACCGACAATATCGGCGTGTCCACCGAGTACTTCTCTGCTTCCCTGACGACTTCGCCGAGGATATTCTCATGCTCGATCAGGTTTCCCTGCGAGAGCATAGTTAGCATAACCACCTTAATGCAACCTTCGCAAGACGGGCTCACCTTTTCAAAGTCAACTTGCATGCTCGGAGAAATGTTCTCATCGATGGGGTTAAGCTGGATCGTCTTCTGAATCAGTTCCTCAGGAAGCGCATGCCCTATCGTCCGCGCAACTTTGAGAACCTCCTTCATGGCGGGAACGACCATGGTGTCCATCGTACGCGGCGTTAGCTGCAGCTCGCTCGCGTTCAGCCCCGTCAGGGCGCATATCGGGTTAAATGAGGCGTTGTAGACGAGCTTGCTCCAGCGGTCAAAGTTGACGTCCGGCTTGTGTAGACAATTTGTCCTGCCTCCTGCGCTGTAGATCTCCACGAAGCGTCTCGCTGCTGCATCCTGTTCTGCTTCTCCCCGGCGGGGGTTTGAAAAGGCCCCGATGTGCAAGAGGTCGTGCTGTTTCTGTTCGATCACGCCCGGGGCGATTTCGTGAGCGTCGATGCGACTGACTCCCGACAGAACGATGTTTGACGGAAAGCGGTCCAAAAAGGGGCGCTGGATGTTGAGTCCATTTTGGATTAACACGATGACTGTGTGTTTTGGAGAGACCGCCGGAGCGATCAGCTCAGGCAGGTTGGGAGGGGCATCGGGGATGTTTTTGGTACAGCAGACTATGTAGTCGAATCGCTGATCTGGATTCAACTTTGAGACATCCGGAACGGCATTGAGAACTTCATGGAGAGTGGTTAGTCGTATTGTTGGAGGCCATGGGAAGGAAAATCCAAGACTGACCTTGGGTTGGGCGCCAGCTTTCCAAGGTGCCGTGGTCGATTGACTTGATGGAGAAGCCCTCTTGGCTGACTACGTTGTAGTTCGATCGCAAAACTGACGTGACCTCTGCGCGATTTCCAGATTCGAGGTTAAGGGCAGCTATCGTGCCTATTCCGCCACTGCCGATGAGCAGCACGCGGGCTTTGTTGGAGGACATGGCGGGATGTCGAGATGAGAGGAATCTAGAATTAGGAGGAAAACCTCAAAAGACTTTGTCCAGGATGGTTCTTTGTTACCTGGTATCGGAGAACTGAACGCAGCCCTACGCCTCGTAACGGTCAGGACAACAGCTCCGGGATCATGACGGTCGGATGCCGGCTCTTGGCAGAAGATTACCCCGCCCAGCATGCCCCGCCATCTCATTCCGACAATGGACCGGTCCGGCCTCAAATCCCGGCTGTAGATCCGGATCGGCGACCGCCTTGAGCACGGGCCTAGACTTTTATCAACAACCAGTCCATGTTCTCTTGAAATTAGTATTCCATCTTTCTATCGATGAGTTGGGTGAAATCCTGACTCTTATAAGACTATTTTTGTGTTTACTTGCAAGACCCCATGAAAACATTTGCCTGGTACTGTGTTCCACACTATGTCTGCGAGTGGCGCCAGACTCGATACCAACCCCATCCTTCCAAGTGCGCCCGAACAATCCATAATTACCTCCCGCAGCAAACAAGGCCCTTGTTATACCTCAAAAGTCTGATATTTTGCCATGAACAGCCGTGCTTAGGTCTTCCTTCAGCTTGTAGAGCGCCCAGACTCTAAGCGCTTCAACTTTCTTTTTGGAGCTGAAACGTACACCATTTTTAATTCTAAAAAGCCAGGGCGTTAGCCAACGGCTGCGATGCAATTCAGCCATCGAATCCTTCGTTCCTGGCACGCCATATATGCCGAACGCGCCGTCGCCGTTCACTAAGTCGAATGACGTTTGGTACGCAACGGAAAGCTTTTAGTCTTGCATGCCCAGCAGGCTGCAGCGAATATGGCAATTGGGGGATGCCTATATATAAAGCATGGTCTTAAGCCGACGCACCCTCTCGCATACGAGCGCTCTTTGGTAGAATTTTCCATAGCCGAAAGGATGCACTTTTTGTTGTATCTGTCTGCTATCTTTGTCTTGACCCAGAATGCCCTCGCCGTGAACCAATTCCGCCGGCCAGCCGCCGAGGGACCTACGGGGGACTACAGCGAAAACCCGGTTTATGAAGTCGGCAAGGACATCACCTTTCTGTGGGATACGGACTTTGACATGATCGACCTGGTCGTCTGGAGTGATGCCTCGGATAAGCTAAAGACATCTCTGTACAAGAGGATCACGAGTAAGTTGCTTCCGTGTTGCTTTTTCCACGTCGATGAGAACCATGGCTGACTTTTCCTCCTAACGTTAGCAAATTTATCTAGTAAAGCCTTCACTTGGAGGCCCAGCTTCGATGGGTTTCCAGCGGAGTCCATGACTCTCGGCGTCTTCTACTTGACCTTCTACCAAGCAGGGACCACCAAACAGGCGGCTCAGTCGCATTATTTCAACATCACTCAGTCGGCAACGGCGGCAGTGGCTTCGAGCTCGGTGGAGCCTTCATCCACAACGCCTACATCAACCAATACCGCAGTTTCAGGCTCTTCAACATCGGCGACACCGGCCTCCTCACCAACTGCCACATCGACTAAAACCGTGTCTCAGAGCGCTAGCGAGGGGCTCGGAGCGGGTGCTGCGGCGGGCATAGCGGTTGGAGCCACCCTGGGCACGATATTGATCGTTTGTGCAGTAGGGATTGTAACATGGAAACGATATCAGGGAAGAAAGCGACTTGGTGTTCAAGACCGCATGTCCCGAGGGAGCCTCGCCTGGGACAATGGCTACCCGGCACAATACTCGAATCCAGCGCAATACGAGCACTCGACGGAATGGAAATCTGCTATGCCAGTAACGCCTGCTGAGCTCAGCAACGATAGACCAGCTGAGCTAGGCACAGGGAGGGGCTAAAGTCATGTTTGTCGGGCAATTGAATTGTTTTTGGGAAATGAGTATCGAGGTGAATGAAGAAAGAGCATTTTCGGAGGATGCATTTATCGGAGGATCCAAGAAACAATTGACACACCTCTTCGGAAAACTTGGAACGCGATAAACTCCGTCTTGTCAAGGGAGCGAGTCCGACAGCCACCGTGTTATTCGGTGGCTTCGGAACCCGTGGTCCTCCGGTGCCGGCGGAATCTAGGGAGCTCGGGATTCCGAGTTCCTGGATGAGGCCAAATGACGCATCTGCATCAGCACACCCACCACTGTTGTAATGAATCCTTGGGACGATTGTCTTGTCAGCGTCGAATATGCACATTTGAAAGCCTTCGGTTACCTATCAGAGTACTTTAGTCAATTGCCTGGTTCCAACCAAATCTGTGGCACCGGACGGACTGTGGAGGGAAAATAGGGAGCGCCGACCCACTCTTCGCCTCAAACAGGGATTGCACGGATCACAATTTGCGATTTTGGGTTGGTTTGTTGGTTGCTTGCTTCTGAGGCCCTTCTCTTCCCAACAACCTCACTCAGTTCCGTCAACGCCTCCTCTTTTCCCCTCCGCACCTGCGTGAGCCCTAACCTTGACGCAAACGCAAATCGAAGGAAGCTTACCTTACGCTTGACTTTGGACTTGCTTGATTCAATAGTGGCATTGACTGCATCGGAACCTTGCCCCTTGCAGACCGTGCCTCCCATCGGAACACTTGTCTCATCGCTATTCATAAACTATCGAGCCACGTTCCCTGACAACATGGCACGACATGCCGAGGTTCCCAGCGACGCAGCTGGAGCTCCTGTTTCCGCCGCTTCGGATGGCGCCCCTCGCAACCGCATCATGGCTCACATGAACGGCGATCATAAGCGCGAACTTTCTTTGTACCTACGACATTACCATGGCCTCAGCCGCGCTGCCGCCTCCTCACCGTGGCTCAAGGACATCAATTTCGAGGGCATGACCATCGCTGCCGGCGGCCTCGGCGGCAAGGAGTTCTTCATCGCTTTCGACCCTCCGCTAAAATCGTGGGCCGACGCACGCCCAGCCGTCGTTGAGATGGCGCACGTCTCGCAGAAAGCCCTGGGCTTCAGCGATATTACTGTGTCCCATTTCGAGGCCGCGTCTGGCGCCGCGCTGGCAACTTTTATCGGCGTTGCCTTCTACTTTTTCTGCTGGTTGACACTTGGATTCGTCCTGCCCGGCACGCCTATCTGGGGCTTCCTGCAGAACGTGTTTCCTGGCGGTGCGTTGTTCTACCGCTGGCTTGTCAAGGCCATCTTCATCCCCGTATTGGGAATCCACGGCGCCGAGTGCTATTTGTTCCATAAGACCAGGCTGGTAAAGCATGGCATCGAGTTTGGCATGGGCCTTTGGTGGACCTGGATCGGCAGCGTTTTCTTCGAGGGGTACCCTGGGTTCCTTAGGTTTGATGCCATCGTTGCGGAGAAGAGGAAGGAAAAGGAGAGCAAGAAACACTAATAGCCCGCTTCCGAGTGAGCTTAATTGGCTCTTTCTCGTCGATGAGACTAGTGACTTTGGGTATTAGTCCTCGCAAAAGAGATCAGAAGGCCTTGAGCAGGATAACGAAGCGGGGCCAGAGGTGTGGCGAGCATCTTGGATTTGTCGAGTTCGCGACCAAGGGAAAGATAGCTATACTGGTCAATATTCCAGACATACTTGACGCCTGAACCTCCGATTTCCAGCATCAGGACTACTATACATCACCCTCTGACGAGACCCCAACGGAGGCCATCAACCGCAAGGAGACTGGGAGGACCAGGTTCAGTGGAAATGGCCTAGAGTTATGGTGTTGAGCCGAGGACATGGCCGTAAGGAGGTTATGGGAATGGAGAGATATGCTGGCGGACTCAGGTCTTTCGTTGCTTGAGGAAATAACACGCTGTTCTTCCCGGATAATGCTGAGCCATAGTCGCCAAACTGTTTTTAGAACAAGACACCGGAATACTAGACTGTCGCCTAGTCTCGTCTGTATCTGAGTGAATGAAGTAACGGCAACGTGCCTCGAAACGCCTAATGCGCAATCGCAGATGATACTTCTTTGAGATTCCCTCGCGCTACCTAGACTCATCTGGTGTAGGAACAACGCAGCTGTACGGCCCCTGTCAGCTGTGGATATCATCACGCTGGCGCTTGCCTGAAAAGGGGACAACACCGAGCTTACCAAGGCTCAAAAACGGTGAGAATGTTTGCTTTACGCAGAAGAAGCATGTCACCAAAGTGTGTATTGGTGTTAGCTGAAGGTAGATGCTGATGGAAGCGACGAACCTCGCCATCGACACCTGCCTGGTGCCGACCAAAAGGGGAAAGCGCTTGCCCATCGATCGCCAACATGTTCTACGCGCTGGGCGACTCCTGCCGAGATTGATCAAGTGCCCATTCTCGCTTCCCACGCCAACAAGAACTTTTTCTCCGACCACCACACACACACCACCAAGGTCGCATTGCATATCGGCATGCCATCACGCTGCAACCGTGGCGATTCGGAAATCTCGAACAATTCGATAGCCTCGGTTACCTCGAGAAATTTTTTTCTTTTATTTGTTTTGTTTTCTTCCCAGGGAGTATATCCTTCGATTATTGGACCCTGCAAGTCGGTGGCGTTGGAAGCTAAAGTCAACAAGCAAGCTGGGCCAAGACGACATCGACGAGCAAAACTCACTTAGTCTCTAGAGCTGTAAAACCAGATATGCCAAGGGAGAAAACCTGCATGTTTTCGCTAGAATATTTTCGCTATTCCCCCCCGAGCTAAACTTGCGAGACGCTAGTAGGTAGGAGTCCTCCCTTCCCCATTGGCTTTTGCCTGGAGAAGAAGACGTTGTGTACATGACTGCATCAGTATTGAAGCCATTGTCTCCTCTGGGCAACGGTTGACACGAAAATGGCCACGCATTACGCCAATCGCTGATAGCCCAATCGCAACCGAAGAGCTATCAGATCTGTGCCTCCAGCGCCGATGTGGACGCCCGTTTATGGCATTGGTCTAGGACCTTCCCGATGCCAAGGTCACAACGGCGGCCAGACAGCGGCTAAGCGATTGAGATCACACTGAATCCTGCATACTAGTTCCAACATCCAGGTCTTAATTAACAAGCCGATCGACATCCTAGCAGATCAACTTGGTGGACCCCCAACTCGATTGGACTAGACCTTGGTAGGGCAAATACAAGCATTCTCAGTTTTTCAGCACGTCTTTCTTTGTTTCATAGTTTGCAGACATTCTTTTTGACATGTTCAGCAGCTGGGATACTCCCAACGATTGGTATGTGGTCGTTATCGCCAACGCAGCTGACGTTGCCGAGACAGAAAACCTCGAGAAGCAAACATGACTCAGCACTATTGGTTTCCTGGACCGCATACGGATTTTCTTGACTGCCACGCCCATACCAACAGTTATGTAAATTCTGTTTAGCCACCGTGGCCATGCATAGTTACTTCGCACTACCAAAAGTCTACTTCATAGTCCGTCGGCAATGGAGATCACGAACTTATCCTACAGCAATCCACGTCTGCGGGGCAACACTATCGGGTAGATTGACATCACCAAGCAGCCAGAATGCTCAAGCTTCATACCAAGCGGGGCTTTCCGTCTTCGCTGGCAAAACACGGTTGGTCAGTCCCTGGTGTTATTCATTTATCGTTTATAACTTCCCTAAATAGCTTGCAGGCGTAGCTTGAGAGACTCGCCTAGCGTGGCCTGTAGCGCACCCGGGCACGTTCAGCTGCAACGTTGTGCCCGCTAACTTTGGCGACCCCTCGATCCAAACATCATCCAATTTGTGACAATGTCGATTTAGCGCGAGCCAACGGAGCATATCCGGCCAGGCCAAAGTTACCAGAAGAAGTGGAAGGACTAGCGTTGTATTTCTGACTTCCATCAGACTTTGGTATGAACGCGTGGTGCCCATCCTTGGGCTGCAGGCCGATCTCCTTGATGAACTAATCATTTCTATCCAAATGGTCTAAAGCCTTCCGAGTGGCTCGCATCCATCCCATCTGTTAGGTGGTCGGCCCTGCCCTGCCTTTCGTCTGCTCTTGTGGTAAAGTCAATCTGTTGGACATCAGCTTTTTTTGTTATTTTTTGTTTTAATTATATTATTAATCATTGGTGCCTGGGGTGCTGGGTTGGAGCGAGCAAGCCTGCGCTCGGTTTTCCCCCTGCAAGGACCATTGCCGTATTCGTCTTTCCGTCCAATGCTGGACCTCATACTTTACTGGGCAATCCGGCATTGATAATTGAAAAGCATAACCGCTTCAATGCTGGCGGGGTTATGTTGGTAACTCTCTACCTAAATCAACAGGCGCCAGTTTGCTATGCAAGGATTACACCCATCGCGGAACCGGCATCCTCGGTAGGCTTAGCTACGGAATACCGATGAGATCATTCCCCGCTGTTAAATGTGGTGTCGGCAGCCATTCTACCTCGCGATACACCCCATGTTGGGAATGGCCTGGAAGCCGTTGGGAACAGTAATGGAATGAATATATAGCAGCCAACCACAGGCTGTTGGCCATTTGCCGAGAGAACCAAAGTAGAATAGAGCTGGCCCAGGAAAGCGGCACAAAATGGCCAGCATTTCCAGTGCCGCGCCGGCGCACGACCCCGCTCAACGCTAGTTGTCTTTGCCCGCACTGCTCACCGGGTTCACCGCTGTTAGGACCCCTATGCAGGGCGATGGAGTTGACGTACTGCACAGGCGATTGTCAATTGAGCACTTGATTCAGATCACGCCCTAAAAGGGAATCTCGAGATGCATTCCAACGCACCGCTGTTACTTTGCAATATCGATTCGTTAGCCGCACGTGGCTGGAGAAAAGAAAAATTTTGCCCATTGTGGGTTTATAGGTTGGATTGTGTCAAGAGCTCAGAGGGGCAAACATAAAGACAAGGCTCCCCAATCCGGACACTCTTGCGAACTTTATCCACAACCCGTCCTCCCCCGGAAATTTTCTCTGAGGCTCTATGAGGAATCCTACGAACCGCCCTGTCATCCGCACCTCTTGTCGCAAGCAACGTTCGTAAGGAATGGGTCCCCTGCAACAAACAGGTGGGTGACCGGTACGGGACCCGCCTTGCCTCATCACATCCACCTGAGCGCGGGCTAGTTATCTGGGGTATCCATCAAGACAATGGGACGATTGTGGGAGGCACCTGGATTCCTCGGGGACAAACGCTAGCGAATACTCGGAGAAAACATGTTAGCGATGGTTCAGGAAATAGAGACGGTCGCCTCGGCAAACGTGTCCCGCCGTAGTATCGGCAAGCCTCGTTGACATATTAAAGCCCGGGCCCGATCATCGTCGTTGACATTTGTGAAGTCACCACGGCCCTCCTCTTAATCTCAGCTTCTTATAGCTCGGAGGTTCCTTCAGTTCCACACCTCCGGCCCCGGTCTTTGTCATACCGTCAACTTGGTTGAAGCTCGATCAAAATCCATCATGAGAGCCCAAAACACCATCAACAGCGTCCTGAAGGTCGTGGCCGTCGCCTCCAGTCTCGCAGCAGCGACCCCGGTTCTTCCACGATGGACTGTCGGGGAGGCAGTTGAAACCAGCAGCGGGCCCGTTGAGGGACATGCTGCCTCCGGCGCAGACCAGGTCAGCACAGCTTCGTCTGCTTCCATGGCTCTCGACTGACCTGATTAGGTGTCCGAGTATCTGGGTATTCCTTATGCGCAGCCTCCTGTCGGTAACTTGCGCTTCCAGCCTCCTGCCAAGTATACTGGCTCTTCGACCATCAACGGGTCATCATTTGTAAGTTACATCATCATACACCATGTGCTCCTTAGCCCTCTTTAGCGGGCTCACTGGTCTGTGTACCGTTGCCAGCGCATAAGACTAAGATAGCTTTAACTAGGGTCATCAATGTATGCAGCCGTCTTCTGGCGGTGTCAGCCTCGACGCGATCAAGAAGCTTGGGGTTCCAGCTTCAGCTGCTGTGATTCTACAGGCCGTCACTGATACTGGCTCTCAGAGCGAGGATTGCTTAACTCTGAATGTGTGGACAAAGCCTCAAACTGGTGATGCCAAGAAGGCTGTGCTGGTCTGGATTCACGGTGGCGCCTTCACAACTGGTAAATTAGCTCCGTCTCAAGGTTTTTTTTCCCTCCGCCGCAGTACAAAAACTGACTCATTTACAGGGAGCAGTAGGACCCAGGCTTATAACGGAAAGTTCATCGCAGACTTGAATGACGTTGTGGTGGTGTCAATGAAGTAAGTTTGTCGCGGAGTTTGATGTTCGGGCAAAACCCCAATGCTAACTCGGTGCAACCCGATAGCTATCGTCTCAACGTGTTCGGCTTTCCTGGAAACCCCGCCACCGCCCCAAATCTGGGACTTCTTGATATTCGTCTGGCTCTGGAATGGGTTCGTGATAATGTTGCCAAGTTTGGAGGCGACACCGAGCGCATCACCATTTTTGGACAGTCTGCGGGTGGTTCGCTTGTCGACTACTATTCGTACGCGTACGAGTCGGACCCAATTGCCAACGGTTTCATCCCCATGAGTGGCGTCGCCAACGCGTTCGGTATCTTCACCAACGAGACTGTGAACTCCAAGTGGTTCAAGATTTCGTCTGCCCTTGGCTGCGGAGACAGCAAGTCCGATGCCAAGGCCGTGACTGAGTGCATGCTTACGAAGACGGCGCAAGACATCATCTCAAACGGCCTGGACCCGAAGGATTCTGGGCTTGGTTCGTCTGGTGGACTGGCTTTCGCACCAGTGGTCGATAATGCTCTTGTTTTCGCCGACTACAGTGGACGTCCATCGGCTGCCGGTGGCTACCTGGTCGGTAACCTGGAGAACGAGGCGGGTCTGTTCAAGCTCGGCGCTCCCGATAACAACGAGACTTACTGGCTCGGATTCAACAACATAGCTTTCACCTGCCCGACCGGAAGGAGAGCGGCACGAGCCGCTGCTGCTGGTCACCCAACCTGGAGATACAGATACTTTGGAGACTTCCCCAACATTGCCATCACTACGACGCCGCCCAGTGGGGCATGGCATGCATCCGAGGTTCGTTCCGCTTTCTTTTTTTTCTTCTTCATTTCCATGTCCATCATCCGCTATTTACTTTTGAGATGAGACATTTCCGCTGACATGGTTTAGCTCCCTGTTCTTTTCGGTACCGTGCCTGAGGCTGCCATCAAGAATACGCCTCAGGAGGTAGCCATTGGCAAGTATCTGCGAGGTGCGTGGGCTGCTTTCGCCAAGGATACCAAAGCTGGCCTCCTCGACTACAACTGTCACGGGCCATGGCCTCAGTACAAACCCAACGACGAGAACACTTTGAACCGCATTGGGTTCCAGAACGAGACAGGTAGCAACCTGGCTCCTGGTGGCTCGTACGATGGACTGTGTGCGATGCTTGGAGTGCCCACCAACAACTGAGGTTGTTGCCGCACCAAGCAAACATTTTTTTCTTCGTACATAATTACTATAATTTTAACTCCATATATATTTTACATATATATAATATGACTAGACTTTGTCATGCTTCAAATCATCGATATGGTATTTCCTTATCTTGATCCCTTTTGGTCTGTCTCGAGTCTGATTGGTTCTGTTCTATTCTGCTCAATCCAGCACGTCATCGGACGGAGGTTATTGAAATTTGCCGTCCGCAACAAACCCGAGCGAAGCGGCGCCCCTGACTAAATGAAATAAGATCGTGTTACTTCCCTGCTCGTCTTTTCTCGCTTCGCTTTCGGCTGTTTCAAATTTCAGAGGGGCCCTCGAATTGAGATCATCAGCGGCCAGGGGATAGGGAATTTCCCACGTGCAAGCGAGAAGCGAGGTCCCTGAAAAGAGCAGGTGGACTGGCAACCGCTAAGCGCTAACCAGTAGCTGGTGTTCAGTGCTGGGAAAGGTACGTATAGCAGGAAAATACACTGATTCCTCAGGACGGAAAGAGCTCAAAGATTGGCAGTGCACGCCCCAAACTCTAATTGGACTTCTCTTTTTGGTAGGACGACTTCCTTTCGACGTCAACATGCCTTTTACTTCTCGCAGCAGAAGAACAAATGACGATTCTTTGGTCGCCCGTAATTCGAAAAGAACCATCGCCAGATGTCGTAGGCACCGGTGGCTTTCACAGAAGCGGCCACGTCGCCATCATAACCGCATAAACTCCCCAGCCTGCTTGAATTGCTGCAACAGTGCGTCGACCTGCTGCATATATTTCCCGCAGGGCGGTCTGTCGCTGCCGCCACTAACCACGACCGTCAACGTCTTTTCCCACTCTCGACTCAGTCAGTTTAACGGTTCACTTGCGTATGCTTCCGTATGCTTCCGCCGTACCGGCTGTCTGCGAAGGGGTTAGCACTTGCATCACTCCGCAGAACCCATCAACGAAGATCTTCCTCTCGGCGTTGGCGCCCCTGTCCCTCCTCGACGTGGCAAGCTGAGGTCCATAGCTTTGACCGGAAACTGCCATATATGAGCCTCCTGATTAAGAAGCCATTGGAACGCTGCTTACGTCCGGCGACGCCCGATACATAGCGTCTTGTCTGGCTTACCAGATTGAGAACCGTTTCGCTTCCCTGGCCATGAGTTCTACCTACCATTAGTCTCAATTGCGGCATTCCGTTGGATGATAAGGTACTTACACTTTGCACAGCATTAGATTTGAACCCCTCGCATCTACTCAATTGAATTGACGTCGGCATCAATCGAAGCTCTTTCAGCTATGCTCCATATTCACAGTCTGTCAAGCCCGCCATTTTATATGCCGCCAGGATCCATCATGGGCGATGCCGCTGGCAAGTCCATGCCACTAGATAACTCCTCATGTGTCTGAATGTCCCACGAACTGTCATGCAGACGCATCTGCGCGACATTGCGCACTCCACCGTCTAGTTGGCATGACGGACAGCTGCCCCCCAGATCTGATCACCATCCCTCCTTGATGAACCTGGGGCGTCCAATGGGCGTATTATAGACGTTTTTAATACCCGTCATTGGATTGCGAAATGAGGCGAACTTGCTGAGACAGCGCTCTCCTCCTCTCGATCCTCCTCAAATAGTTGTTCGCAAGTGCGTGCAGGATGAAGGTCAGATCAGGCTCCGGAGTATAAAGTTCGTTTGTTGCCTGACAACCTGGTATGGTTTTTGTTCAACATCAACGCAATAAACTGACTACGCAAATTCGCAACCTCACTTTTCGCTCCTCACTTTAAATCTTCATTTTAGCCAGCACATCTTGATATCAAGAATTACATCAACATGTCCCAACCGCATCTCTAGCGTGCACTTGGAAAAGAATGCTCGCAATCCGACCTTCGCATCCCCCCAATCGGTTTAAGTCTACCTGTCGTCCACCTTCCAGCAACCCATTCTCTTTCCTCGACTCACTCTACCTGAAACTCCGGCTCAAGGCTAACTCCTACGGCCGGTCGGGCAACTGTTCATTGGACATGCCTAAGAAACACCAAGACCGCTCTCCCAAACCACACAAGTCCTCCGACACTCGCGCCAATTCAACTCTTGCAGTGAGACAAACCTCAGTAGACCCTCCTTTTTCTCAAGTGTTGATTATGTGTGCTTAGCTAATGTACGATATAGGGAACTTCTACCAACGGATCCACCCGATCGCGTACCCAAGATCGTGGGGGAGCAAGTGAGGCTCGCACAGCCTCTGACAGGTTGACACCTACGCTATGGACGACCCAGATCTTTCCCACTTACACTTATTGTAGATCAACGCCTACGAGTCTAGAATCACGACAGACTCTGGCCTCCCCTTCGGCCTCGGCACGCGGCCGATCCAATAAAACCCTCCCAGCCACAAAGTACATTGACAGTTATTTGGAGTACCGCAAAGCATTGTTCATCAAGATCTTTATGGCGAAGGTTGAAGAATGGTTTGACGAGAACGTCTGTACCCTTGAAGAGGCGAACGACAACGACGGGCAAACTCCGAGTGGTTCCAGGTCTTCAGGGAACAGAGGCATGAAGAGACCTGCCAGTTCAGGCAAACTGAACCCAGGATCCAAGAGACATCATCGAGACGACGACCCAGAGGACCAAAAGTCCGATAACGAGGAAGAAGAGGATCGCGACCGCGGGCAGAAGCGTGCCAAAACGGCCAATGACAAAAGGAAGTTCGCATGCCCTTTCTTCAAGTACGATCAAGCCCGATACAAAGACCAACGAACCTGTTGCGGTCCAGGCTGGCATGAGATACATCGTCTGAAGTTAGCATTTCTATCCCTAATCAACAATAGTGTTGTATATAACTAACATGCATCAGGGAGCATCTGTATCGCCAACATCGTCTTTTCACATGCAGCCGATGTCTTGAACACTTTAAGAACCAGAAGCAGCTCGAGGCTCATCAGAGAGCCACGGTTCCATGTAAATTGCGGGAAGCGGGTTCCCGTGCAAAAGACCCTGGAGCGGGTATGAGTGCTGAGACGGAGAAGCAAGTGAAATCCCGCAAGTCAGGCAAGCAACATGAAGACAACGTTAGTAAGTGGTACGAGCTGTACCACATCCTTTTCCCCGGCAGAATTGCCAAGGAAGACCTCCCGAGTCCTTGTAAGTCTATCAAGATGCCCCGAATAGGCGCCCATTGCTGATCTTAGGTCAGGGTACGACACTCCAGGTAGCTCTAATGGCAAGAAAGGGCTTTCAGCCGACGAAGACTTGCGGCGTCAGTATGAGCACTTTTTGCGACGCGAAGTGCCCATCATGATTCGACAACAGCTTGAAGCGTGCATCGATGAGGAGTTTGGGAATGTGTCGTCGGCGGTGCATGGCCGGCTCTCGAGTTGGATTCAGTCCTCGGCTGAAAAGTGTGCCCATATTTTCAAATACATTCCAACGCCCACCGAAGCTGCGACACAGCCACACCCAGACATAGAGCGTGCTGTTATGCGCGGTACATCACCGGTGGCCGAGCCCTTTGTCAATCTTGGTGAGACCGTCGTGGCCTGGCCGTTTCCCGACCCAGAGCTAGACCTGAGCAACATTAGCTTTGATCTAGATCCAAACGGCTTGTCACAATCGCTGTTCGAACAGTATGAACCGGAGATTGACTCAGCTTACGAGTCGGGGAGCCTTGGAGGCTCCTCCAGTACCTGGAGATATTGAAGCCTCGGCATTCAACGAATCTCCGAATACGTTATCATGTCTTGGACGGTCACGTCTCAACGTTAGCCTTCGAAGGAAGGCATCGGTAATATTTTAACATCTCCTAAATCTCCGCTCCTTTAAGCCCGACTCCTCTCTTTTGCGTTTATGTCGTGTGTCCGAGTAATCAACCAGCGTGTCGTTCGCTATGCAGGCTGGATGGAAGGAAGGTGATCTGGACGAAACGAGTTGGTAATCATTGGTTCAAAATCCTATTTTTTCTAGGTTCAGATCATTACCTGTGTCTCTTTAGTGTGGAACATATTGTATTTCTTATTCGTCTTTTCTTAGTTGTACGTTATCTGGATCCTTGGACCTTCTTTGTGTGGTTAAGCAAGTTCATTGCTTGTTCTCGACTTTTTCAGGAAACTTTACTAGCTATTTCGAATTATCTGGACAGATTTTGACACGAGGGATTCATCCAGTCAGATCAAAATTGTATACATGAAACCCTTTGTAGTCTATTTATCATACGGTCTTTTCTAAGTCCTCCCAATACACTCGTTCAAAACATCACATGCTCTCCGGGATGCCTGTCTTTCGCCTTTCATCGAGTTGACATGTCGCGAAAACGGAATTATCAGCAATAAGTGGCCAAATCTATACGATAACCTACACGGCCGCAGGCTGGTTCGACGGCAGCCTGGAAACAGTTCCGGAACGAATACTTTCCATCTGGCTGTCAACTCATCCCGGGGTCAGAGGACCCTCCTATCTGCCGGCACGATGCCGAGACCGCATCCCCACAAGTTAGAAAACGACATCGAGTCTGTAGAACCTTCCGAGATCAACCACGGTCATGCGGATGTCTCCGGTTGCTGCAGGGTTTGCGTTGGCATCGTGGAAAAAGTCAACATGTACCGATCGCCATGGCGAGCGGGGGACGTGGGCGTGGACGTGGACTGGGGGTTTTTTGTTGATGTTGATTTGCGTACGGCGCGGTCTACTGACTATTGGAAGGATGCCAAGACTGCAACTTTTTTTTTTTGGAGTACGCGATCGGCGGGTTTTAGTTGATCTTCGGTTGGATCTTGAACTTTGGCATCTTCGTTGCATTCTGGTACACCCCTGGGCTAGGGCGAGTCGGCATGATATCGGGCTTAGCTTTCAACCGATGTTGTTCAGCTCTCATTGGTCCTCATGTTTATGTGATGTGATTGATATGTTGGTTGAGACGACTTGCAAACGTGAGCTGGTGTTTTGGTAGAAGATGCCGTCGAAACTCTCCATCATTATCATGGGATTTCCAAATAGATGCCATCCGCCAAGACAAAGACTCTTCAACATTGAGTATCCTCGGTCTTTGCGGGCTTGACACAGTAGACTAACTGTCTTAACTGGCAGCTTAATACCGATTATTTTCCCGTTCCGTGAGGCATGCAAGTGAACATGCCAAGATGGTTATTTTTGGACGCGCTTCTTTCTCAATGGAGGTAAACAGAGAAGACTATTGGGGAAAAGGGACAAGCCCCAGAAAATAACAGTCCTACGGAGAAAGCCGTAGCCTTTTTGACTTCAGAGTTGACAAAACTAAACGGTCCATTGGATGCGGCCAAAGGGGCCCCGGAAGCTGTCAACCCATATTCTTTTGATTACGATCGGCGGCGTCCCGACTGCACGGGTTCGCAGGGGATCTCCCGTTCAGCGGGGAAGCCAGGTTCGTGAGTAACTTGCATTCATCTATTTTTTTTCCCCCCCTCCAGGGTCTCGGGACGCGATAAGAAGAAAAAAAGAAAATTCGTCATCTACTAATTTAAACTTGGCGATCTTGATCGAGTTTTGTTGTTGACCGTGTCGAAGCCGGAAATCCCGAGACATGGGACTGACTGAGCACTTTTTTTTTTTTTTTTTTTTTTTTTTTTTGCGGACGTTGATGATTATTACCGAATGTCTACTTCGTGAGTCCTGTGACAACCTCCTTGATACAGTTGTGGAACTAGTTTGAGTTCGCAGTTGTGGTCTTCTCGATTCAGAGGTGAGCCGTCGTCACTGGTTCACCAACCCCCCGATCTCGAGGCACTATCGCTGACACCGGGAGACCCCTGCAACTGTATCATCTTGACAGTATACGGCGATTGGTCCAAGGTGATCTCAATCTTTCAGTAGACGCGCACGGGGCAAACTGAGTCATGGGCCTCTTTTCGCGCTTGACTAGTGCAGGATTTGCCAAGGAGAGGGGTACTGAACTCTGCCATATCACACATCCGCTTCGCCCCTGGCAGACGAGCTGAGCTGAGTTGACCTGGTAGCTGAGCTTTCCGCGCCGTCAAGATTATAGCGGGGGTTGTTCAGGGCCATGCCAAGCCGAGACATGGTTGCGTTTGGAGGCTCTTCAACGAGCTATACCATGTTATGGCTCAAGTGTAGTTTCCTTATCAACGTGCTAATTGTTCCTTCCTAGTAGCTGGCTTTCTTTGCCTATTATTGAAGGAGAATTGCTAGGTTCCTGGTTTCAGAGAGCCATCCCAGCTAGACTGATGAGTTCGTGGTATCTGTCAATCTCGGGTGATACTGGGTTCCGCTGTTGTGAACCTGCCAAGGAATCTAGACAACTCAACTCGCCCCCTTGCCTTTTGTTAGCTGTAAACCAGCTTGAAGGGCTCTGGGGCTAACCCACTTGTGAACTCGTCTGGTTGAAGTAAAACCTTACTAAAAAGAAGCGCAACCTCTTCGTCTATTTGTCGGGGACAAAGGCTTAGAAACATGAACGCCATCGGGACATGGAAACGGCGATTCGGAAAGCTCTTTGCGAGGGCTATGGCCCTGGAAACGTCGGAGTCCAACATTCGCCGCGACGAGGATCGGAGTTCCGCTCGCAGCACGAGTACGGCCCCGCACCATGTTGCCGGGAGATCACGGTACCAGATAGCGGGATTTAGACGGACGAGTCCCCTATCACGGAGCTCTTTTAAAGAGACACTAGAGCAGAACTCTGGATTCAGAGGTAATCTCCCCTGCGAAAGAGTTTCACCAAAGTACGCATTGGTGCTTCGCCAGCCGTACAGTCTCTGAAGACCGTCCACGTCTGAAGGAATCGTCGAGTAGCTTTTGAAAGCGTCAATGGCTTCGAGGTCGCGGATGAACGCGCCTTTTGGAAACTGAGTCGTATCGACGACTAACAATGACAAGTCTTCCAAGCTTCCCTTCATGTAGAACCGGTACACGGCGTAGTGTAATGCAAACAGGAGAGAGCTGGTCCACGAAACTAGGTTGGAGTCGAACTTGTGCATGCAGAGGAGGTGATCTTCAAGTTTTTGTGCAATAAGGCTCGGGGAGAAGTCTTTGTCGTATGCAAACAAGTCTTTGCAATTTTCACTGGGGTTGTTGAGCCACGCTCGTGAGCACACTTCCTTCGTGCTGGTGGTACCCGCGCTCCACGGGCCGGTCACCCTGAACAGGAACCGAGGGATATCATCGATGCACGGCGTAAGTACATCGCGGTGTGGGAATGCCGACAGTGGGATCTTCCCTGGTTCAAACAGAATTGGTTTATCCTCTATTTCTCTTGAAGCCATCGTCAGCGAAAGAGGCTGAAGTTGCCAGAGAGAAAATTGAGGGGGCTCGTATCTTAGAGTTTGGGACTATGAAGCCCCAGCCGCATGAACGAACTAGTGAACAAGGTTTCGGACAGCAGTAAGCGCTGGCCTGTGCTTCTCAGCTCGGGCGTTCTGAAAAGGAATATTGAGTTGTTTTGTTGTTGTGCTAGATTCTGGGTTTCTCCTTGTCAAGCGGTGCAAAAGTAGACGTGCTTCTTCATTAGGTAGGCAATTAATCTAACAGAGTTGTTGACTAGTTCCCGATATTGCCGCCTGTTGAGCTTCAGCTGACGGCAGCAGCTAACATGAACTATCGCCCTGTTTGGCAACAGCTATTCGGTAATCGTGCACCCATTAAGTTCAGCCTACTAAATGTAAGGATTCTGGATTTACCAATTGGTTAGTGTTCTGTGTAGAAAGTCCTGTATGCTTTTCCTGTGTACATTTTTGTATTCATTTGAGTTGCGTTAAGCCATACTTGGTTTATAATAACACCTTGGATTTCTCATAGTTCCTGGCGAGAAATTTGTCTGCAGTTATGCCTTTTTTCATTTTTGGGTAATATAGTCAAAAATGATAACAAATGTCTGCATCTGCGGGGCATGTTTAGCCCCTATCGTAGATCCGCGCAGCCATTGCAATAGCCCCTAAACTACAATCCGTTCTGATGTGGCTCAACAATACGATGAGTTATATCGATTGGCTCGATGTTGAGGCATGAACGATGATCGAAACGCTAAGGGCTGTTTCGCATGATGTGTTATTGATTGCAGATGCACGACAACTTCACACGAGGACGCGAGGCGCATTCTCCGTTATCAGGAGAATACTAGTTTGTTTTGCGTCTCTCTTGATACACTCAACTCCATTCTCAGAAACATCACCGTTACTAAAGTCGGCGCAGTGCAGTTTGCACTAAATGGGTCAACCACTTATCCCAAAAGAACTCTGATGTAAAACAAAACTAAACCCCTTTCTGCGTGTCAGTTTCGTCCTACTGTTCAGCAGTATCTACGATCTCTACTTTCGTTGCTGCGCGGATCGTATACCTTCCTGCAGACCAGTTTCCGGATATCGTCGGTTACCCCTGTTTGAGGAAGCGATAAACGTGTCAAATATGAACAAATGCCAACCGCACAAAACGCGGGGTTCTACAAGCTTATACAGCTGATCAAACCTTACGTGAATCATCCTATGGACTCAAGACACACGGGAGGTGGGCGTCTTACCATCAATCGGGATGGGATATCTTTCGTCGTTGTGCCAGACCGACTCATGAGGAATCAATCGCTGAGGCAGTGCTCCGGATTTCCGTCCGACGGGAATGTGACTGTCAGGAAGCGATCCGCGTACGGCGCCGGGGCCCACTTTCGGTATTAGTGGGGCAGGGAGTAAAAAGGAGATATTAGGGTTATAAGCGCGGGCGCCGCGAGTCGGCAGCGTACAAGCTAGGCATAAGAAGGGGAGTCGAGGGATGTAAGAGGGGGGGTAGATTTTAGCGTTAGCACCTACCTAGACCTACCTTAGTAATATAGTCTTATCGTCCTTACTTTGTCTATTCTACTATTAATAGTCTGAAATCTTAAACCCTAAGGGAGATAGACTATTAAGCGATATAGTAACTAATACTTAATAAGTTAACTACGATAACGTACATGATAAGCGAGTGAGACAGACAAGCGAGTGAGACAGTAAACCGCGACCGTCGCACCTTGACGCGACCGGCACCTTTTCCTCTACAATAAATCATGGAATCAGCTAGTATTGAAAGAAGGTTACAAATTGCCCTTCAAGCAATGAGAAATGACCCAAAACTTAGTGCTCGGGCCGCAGGTGCACTCTATACAGTCAGTCACGCAACATTAAGCCGGCGACTAAAGGGAATAGTCTCACGACGCGACAGCATGCCTAATTCACGGAATTTATCAGATTTAGAAGAGAAGACAATAGTTGAGTATATTCTCGACCTAGATGCGCGATCATTTCCTCCCCGGCTGAGTGGTGTGGAAGAAATGGCCAATCGACTTCTCGCAGAGCGCGACGCGCCTCCAGTTGGGAAGCGCTGGGCTTCTAATTTCGTCAAGCGACAACCACAGCTTAGGACGCGTTTCTTTCGCAAGTATGACTATAAGAGAGCTCAATGCGAAGATCCAGAGGTGATTCGTGGCTGGTTTTCGCTTGTGAAGAATACAATTGCGAAGTATGGTATTGCTGATGCTGATATCTACAACTTTGATGAGACCGGCTTTATGATGGGCGTTATTGCTTCTGGAATGGTTGTTACAAGTGCTGAAAGGCGTTCAAATACGAAGATGACACAGCCTGGCAATAGGGAATGGGTTACAGTTATCCAGGCTATTAATTCCCAAGGGGAGAGCATCCCGCCATACATCATCGTTGCAGGCCAGTATCACCTCTCAAGCTGGTATACAGAAACCTCTCTTCCGGGCGATTAGGCTATTGCAACGTCTGAAAATGGATGGACAACAAACGAGAGAGGTATTGACTGGATCAGACACTTCGACATTTATACAAAACCACGTACGTCTGGGAAATATCGCCTCCTCGTTGTTGATGGTCATGAAAGTCACCACTCCGCAGCCTTCGAGCTCTTTTGTCAAGAAAACAACATTATTACACTGTGCATGCCGGCTCACTCGTCTCATCTACTTCAACCCTTAGATGTTGGTTGTTTTCAGCCGTTAAAGAATGCCTACGGTCGGCAAATTGAGAATAAGATGCGGCGAGGCACAACCCATATCTCGAAGGAAGATTTCTTTGCAGCATTTCACGAAGCTTTTAAGCAGTCTTTTACGAGGAAAAATATCCAGGGAGGTTTCCGAGGAGCTGGACTTGTCCCTTTGAATGCAGAAAGTGTTCTCTCAAAGCTGGATGTAAAGTTCCGAACGCCAACGCCTGAGGAGGGGGTCCCTCAGACACCAGACCCTTGGATCTCTAGGACGCCGAGCAACCCAAGCGAAGCAAGATCACAGTCTACTTTTATTAAGAGTCGAATCTCACGCCACCGAAGCAGCTCTCCAGCATCAATTTATAGTGCTGTGAGTAAGCTAGCCAGAGGGACAGAAGGACTAGGGCATCGGGTAGCATTACTAGAGTCAGAGGTTCAAATCCTTCGAGAGGAGAATGCAATATTAAGTCGGCGTCGAAGGGCTAAGAAAACACGTTTACAGAAAGGAGGAAGTCTTACTATATCTACTGGAGAGGATATACAGTCGCAAAGAGAGGCAGACACGCAACTACAAGAGGAAACGCGACGGAGTAGTGGTCGCAAAGTGAGGTCTGAGACGACTCATCGTCGGTGTGGCGTATGCGGGAATACAGGCCACAACGCGAGAACATGTCAATTTATTAAGGAAACATCCGAAGAACAGGAATCCGAGTAGTATTAATCAATCTAAGATTTCTTGTTATAGATTTCGATATTATTGTCGCGAAGGTCTGGTTTACTGTCTCACTCGCTTGTCTGTCTCACTCGCTTATCATGTACGTTAGCGTTTTATTAAAATAGCAAACGTAAACCTAACTACTTACGTCTAACGTAAGGTTCGGATAACTTGATAATAGCTAGGCTACGCCTTCGCGTATACGAATAGCGAGCAAGCGGCTAGCCTTCTTAGAGTAATAAGAGAGGGAACTCGAGGAGGAACTCGCTGTCGCAAGGCAGGAGGCGCGGATCCGAAGCAAACTAGCTAAGCTAGCACGCCTCCGAGGCAGCGACAAAGGAGATTCCGCGCCGTCGAGACAAGGCCCCTTGCTAGCAAAGGAGCTAGGGACTTAACCCGGACTTATACTACCGCTAGCTAGCTTTATAAGTAAATAGCTAGAAAGTATTATAAGTAATAATACTTTATAACTATATTAGCTTTTAGTATTACTAACCTTAGAATATTATAGAAAAGCTTACTAAGAATTATAAACCTTCTTATTCGATTACTATATACGTTTCGACTTATAAGTAACCTAGATATTAAGTAATAGTAATAAAGTAGTATTTATAATAAGTTATTTTAAAAGCTAAGTAAAAATAGTATAGATATACTATTTTAAAGAGAAATAGTAAAACCTTTTTTTCTAAGTCTTATTAATTATATAGAAAAAGTTTAAAGATTATCTTAAAGTAAAAGTAATAAACTTAAGTAGCTATTCTATCGATACTATATTATAGCTTAACTAAAGCTATTAATAACTAGACTAGATAATCGATTAATTATAACTATTTATAATGCTTTTAAACTTAAACTATTATATATACTTTTAAAAGAATAATAAGTTTCTTCTTTTTAAATAAGTTACTATTAAGTATTTATATAGCGATTACTTTATAGCTATTCTTCTTCTAAATATAAGTAGAACTAATTATGTTAATATACTAAATTAAGTAAGCAGGCTATAATAGTTAGACTTCTTAAGTATTACGACTACCTTACTAATAACTATAATATACTAAACTAGCTATATAGCTAGTAAATAAAGCTTTTAAGCTTCTTACTAAGGTAGAAAGCATAGCGACTAAGAAAAGCTATAAGAAGCGATTAAATACTATAACTACGAAGAAGAAGCTATATAGCTTTACGATATCCTAAACCCTTATAAGAACGAGGATCTTATTATAAATACGGCTAGACAGGTTACCTTGTAAGGTAGTATAGCTTAAGGAAATATTATTAATATAAGAAGGCTAAGTACCTTCGGAGGTATTGCCTTAAGCTTTAATAACGTCTCCGAACGGTATCTTAGTAGCTATAGCAAGGAGTAAGAAGTAAGTTAAAAGCGCTACTTAAAGATTAGACTATAGCTATGCTTAGGTAGCTATTAGCAACCTAAGAAGGCGTTAGTAGACTTAAGGTTAGAAGTAAACCTAATTAGTATAAATTACTTTTAAGTATATAAATCGTAACTATATATCTACCTTAGCCTTTCGATTATTAACGTTAATAGTAAGTTAATTCCGATATATA